GATTCCACTCCTACCAGCCCAGCATCCCGTATATGCGACGCAGCGATTCTGCTCCTACCAGCCCAGCGTCCCGTATATGTGACATTAAAACAGAGCGATTTATTTGAATTTTTAAAAGCCAGTAAATGGAGCTAAGTGGTAATTTGTTTTCACATGGCTTGATTTATACGGCATTTGACCTTCATATACTGGTATTAGTTTCTGTTTTGTGCTTCTGGTTTTGACAGATTTATTGAAATAAACAAACTGGAAATCATTGCTCTTTATAAGTGCGCCTCTGAATTAAAGGGGCGCAGGCGTTTTTGTTTATTTCGTTAGGATTTTTTTTTCTTACTTATTTTGAAACTTAACATAAGCTTTCTTGATTAATTAAAAAGTAGCATTACAACATTAGTACAGAAGGGGAAAAACTATCAGCTTTCTCAATGCATAATGCGTCTTGCTCGCATTTCTCAGGAAAGGGCCAGCGTTTTTGTTTTTCTTACTCAATTTAATAGGTCATTATATATAATGCCTTGAATGGTCATTATATATAATGACACAGCATTATATTTTGGTATATAATGTATTTGCTTTACATATAATGTAATTATATATAATGTATATATTGACATGATCAGTAACGGATATTCCGCTAGTGGGGGTGTTTCCTTGATCACTTTCCGATCATCATGGATGCTGTTTTCGATTTAGAAAAACAGAAAGTTTTCTAATACATACCTGATGTCACACAGGGTTTGAGAATGAAATATTTCTGAATGTCTTTTCAAGAAGTTTTGGGACATTCAGTTTCATTCCATTAGCCATGGCTGAGAGACCTTACTTAAAAATTTGTCCAAAATCACCGGACACTCAACCTTTCCGTCTAACTGAAGACAAAAAAGTTTATTACTTTTTTTAAAAAGTTTTTCTTTCAAAAATTTACGTTGACAGAAAAGAAAAGGAATAAAGGTAGGAGAAGATGCATTCTATGTGCTAAAACGAAGGAAAAGCCAAGCTAAAACCAAGGAAAACAAAAGCAAACAACGTATTTTGAGTACAATGTAGGACTGCGTGTCGATCCTTGTTTTGAATTATTTCACACACAGAATTTTTAAATTGGAATTTAATTACCTACAGGTAATTCTTGTTTAGTTTTTTTTTTTTTTTTTTTTTCAATTTCGTATTTATAAATTTTTTTCATGTTTATAGTATTTATTTTTGTGTGTATAGTTATGATTTTAGTATTTTGCCTGTTTAGTTTATTTATATTAATGTGATATTATTTATATTAATACACATTAAAAACAAGTACCGTAGTTTCCGGAAGAAAGGCCGCATCAGCGTAAATGCCGAACGCGAGAAAAATGGTGGGAAAAAAAATAAAATTACACAGAAACGTCGCATCAGATTAAATTGCGCGTGACATCGTCTAAGGCCGTATAGATGCAAAAACTCAACCTAAGTCCTGATATATGACATACCAGTTAAGAAAAAGGCATGAAATGAAACCATAACTCAAAAATAAATTAAAGGTAAGAAATGTATAGCTTCTGTGCCGTTTAGAGACATTTTCAAAAATTTTCCGCTCCCTAATTAAAAACTATCCAACAAGTACTTGTACCCAAACTGATGAGATCTGTATTTGGTAGAATGCCAAGAAAAATCCATTCATGCTGAAGGGGAAATACGTCAGAGTTCGTTATTTCGAGGCAGGTGGAGTCATGTCCGCCTTTGAAAAAGATTGCAGAAAAGGCAGGGGTGGGGAGAGGATGGGTCCTGGAAGATTCATCGAATGGCAGAGGAGAGAGACTATTCAAACTGATGAGAATGTTGATTTGAAAGGGGGAAGAATGTTATTGTTCTGAGATCTCGTTTAGGGTGAATAAGGCATGTAGGTCCGTTCAAGGGAAAGAATGTAAACAAAATAACGTTCGCAAAAAGCAACTGAATGGTCTTTTGTGTGGGAACAGCTCCAGTCTATGCACAATGACAAGGCGATCCAAACTATGTACAATGACCATAATAGGAAATATTTTATTTTTAGTGCACCTAAAAGCCGCATGGGTAGAAATGCCGCACCCGCTGAAAATTTAAGTTTTAAACACGTAAACGACGCGGCGTTTCTTCCAGAAATTACGGTACATTAAATACGCAACTTCAAAAATTGAAGTCATAATATCAAAATGCTGATTTTATACGATTTTTTTTTTTTTTTTTGTAAAATTAAGCTTAACCGCTGAAAATGCGTGGGCTGGTGGCGACGATCCATTTTAGCGTGTCCAGTCCCGTGACTGCACTTTTCTTCCGGCGCTGGTCCTTAAGGGGTTAATAAACTATTTTTTCATATTCAGTATATGGTTATAATCTTTCAGGAGAAGTTTATTATTTAATTATTATCTATGTGATAAAATGTAGTGATCAATGTAATACACAATCTAGATCACAGTTTTCCAGTACTTTTTTCGTTTACCTTTTTCTCTCCCAACTTTTGAGTTTATTTAGCACCTTCCTACTTTGTAATAATAGTATACTGGATATATTTTGAATGTGATTTAGAAGCTTTGACTGAATATGCTTTACAATATTTACATATTTATTGTATTTCTGTTACATTCAATGACTGATTAAAATTCGCATTGCAATACAGAAGCATAATGGCGAAAAAGGCTTTTCAAAAGATTTATAGTAATGAATTTGACAAGACATGCCCAAATCATCCTTTTTACACTAGATTTTTTTACAGAATTAAAATAAGAATAATCATCAATAACTAAACTTTATGCCCACTCAATTTGTTTCAAAAATTAAAGAACCAAGAAAAATAAATTTTTATTAATTTGATTTTTGTATTGAGGACTAAAAGTAATCAGTGTTGATGTTATGAAGTTTATTTCAAATATTATAAATATTAACTATGGTAATGAAATTGCATATACCTTTGTGTCACGTAAAATAATTGCATAATAATGTTGGTCCTTTCAGTAATTTTGATTCCTTTAATAGTTCATACAATGATAAACTTTTTTTTTAATAAAAGGTATAGTTTTGATTCACAGGATAAATATTTATTCATACAATACTGCGCTTAATAAGTACTAATTATCAAAAAAATACAGTCAGTTATTTCAGTAATCTATGCAGATTTTTAAAAAATTTTTTTTAAACATAATTTAGGATTTTTGAATTGAAACAATGCTGTTAGCCTCTTGGATGTATGTAAATTTTGTTCTTCCTCTGCTTTGTTTTCAGGACATAAATGCATTTCATTTATAATACACAAAATGTGTTCCTCTGATTAATATATTGAAATAATTTTTAGATCTGTTTTTATTCCCTGAGTGTAAACATTCCTTTTATTGTATCATACTATATATGTAAAAACTTAAATTTGATTGCAAGCATTAAATGAAAGTGCATTTTGATTTAAAATCAATAGATAATCAATGAATTAATTAAATTTGTCATGTGTGAAATTTTTTGTTTAAGGTAAATCATCAGATTTACTTATTGTTTTTTGTGTATGTATGGGCATTGAAAATATATAGGTGACTGAAATAAAAACCTGAAATTTGCAATGAATTCCAAAATGTTGGTGGCAAGAGTTAACCTTATGGCTCAAAGAATCATCAACTTGTGGCAATATGATGCTGCATCTCCGAAGAAGGAAGTAGATGCAATATAAAAATGGCTGCACAACTGTTGATATGTACTGTGTGAGAGCAACAATCTGTGATGCATTTTCCAGCACGTTAAGTGATTCATTGTCTCTCCAGCAAGTGTAATATTAGTGTAGTAACTATAAAAGCAGTGTCACATCTGTGAAGAAGCTAATCTTAGCATCAGGAAAGCTTACTCTGTTTTGGGATGAAATATGATAATTTTGGAACATTACGTGGAAAAGTGAGTAATAATAACCTCTCCTAAAAGTTCTGAAACATGGTACTGCGACATCCTATATAGATAGTTTTTAATGCCACTTGCAAGTAGTAATGTTATTTCTGAAAAGCTTGTTTTAAGTCTGTATAATATATAAACAAATGGTAGAAGAAAAATACATCATAGAATTATAGAAAAAAAAGAGGAGTAAAGTAAAGTATAATAGTTTTGCTACTTATTTTACATTACATTAAATATTAAAAATGCTACTTGATGGGATTAATGTAGATAATTTTTGTTATTATTTACAATTAGTAATGATGTTTTTAAAAGCTTTTTAAATAATTACATACAGAATATATCACACAAATAACATGTGAAAAAATATGCAGCGACTATGGAAAGAGAATGGGGGTGTAAAGCCTAATATTAACTTCGCAATTAAATTTCAGATTATTTTAAATATTAGAAATATAACTGATTGATGTTTCTGATGAGTAGCAGTGATGTTTCTGAAAAGCTTTTTAAGTCTGCTCAATACAGTACAAAGTCCGTAATCCGGACTCGTCGGGACTTCGGCGATTCCGGATTAACAGTTTTTCTGGATTATAGATCATCAATTTAAATTTGGTAAGATGGCATGCAGAAATTATACAATTAAAAATATGAAACTGTCATTTATGAAATAAAGAGCAATTATGATCTAAAGGGTATCAAAATTTACAAAAAAAAATATATTTGTTTACTTTATTAAACATTTCTTTCAATGTAAGTTGTTTAAGTTGCTTCGTTTTTTGTGCTAAACGCACATGCGTAAAGCATACAAAAAAAAAAGTTTGTGGCTTTGAGGTCCAGATTATAGATCATTCCGGATAATGGACGTCCGGATTACAGACTTTGTACTGTATAATGAAACAAAAGGCGTCCACAAGAAAGTGTATAGATTTTTTCCTATCTATCTCTATATATAATAACAATAAATTGGTTCGAGGAGAGAATTTAGTAGATCCATTCACTAATAATCATAGCTGGAAGTTGTTTGGTTGTAGATAACTGAATATGGCAGACATACTGGTGGCATCTTAGCAGATGTATCTTTGAAGAATAACAAAATCATGATAATCTGAAAATATCTTTATTATTTGTTGATTGCTCTATTTAGAAACATCTTATTGCATGGCAGACCGCAATGGAGAAAATCTGCACACCCCAATTTTGATTATGACTCATTACATTTTTAATAATGAAGCAGGCAAGCAAGAAAAAGATACGTAGGCAGCAAAAAACACTGCATAATAATTGCAGTAGTATTTATAATCTCAGACCACTTTGTTTTAATCCTCAGCAAAAACTTGACAAAAGTCTAAAACAATGCAGTTACTGGAGGGAAAATGCAGATGCCTTGAAAGGGATTGTGCTTTAACTGAAAATTAGAAATTTAAAGGTTTATTCCCAGTTTGTTCCAATTAAGTTTAATTTGTTAATAAATTTCCATACTTTATATTTTACATATATAAAAAAATACATTATGGAAAGAGGGAATGTGAGATAATATATGATATTTTTTGGTACTGCATCTATAAATTCAAAAATGTTAAAAAAAAATATTTAAATTTCTGAAAAGCTTTCTAAATGTGCATAATGTATGTGAAAGTGACACCAATGAGAAAAAAATTACATAGTATTATAGAAAAAAGGAAGGATTACATTATATATATATACAATATGTACAGAATATAAAGAAATTAATATATACAGTCAAAAGTCTTTAATCTGGACTCTCGGGACTTCGGCGATTCTGGATTATAGATCATCAAGTTTAAATCTGGTAAGATGACATGCAGAAATTATAAAATTAAAAATATGAAACAGTAATTTATGAAATAAAGAGCAATTATAATCTAAAGGGTATCAAAATTTACAAAAAAAAAAAAAAAAAGCTTTATATTTATTTGTTTACTTTATTAAACATTTATTTCAATGCGCACATGCGCAAAGCATACATTACACATAGTCGAAATTAGAAAATTGCAACCAGAAAACTATTTGATGTGTATTCGTGATATTTATATTGACAAGGAATTTGATTTAAATCATATCAAAGATGGAGTACATTGAGATGAAATACTACATTAGTAAGGAAATAAGCCAAACGAAATAAAAACATCTGCCCTGAAGATAAGGATAGTGCTGACAGATCAACTTCCAGTTTCATTGCGCGCCGCTTCGTTCCCCCCCCCCCCCGCAGAGCAGCGTGAAATTGATAAACAGATTTTGGAATGGTTAGAGAAACAAAGGAATGCCTTTATCCATTTTTTTGCAGCAATTCTAGTTTTTGTTTGATGGACATCGGAACATGCTTTGGCTTGTAGATCCTTTGGTAGCTCCAGAATCGGAAATTCTTTTTGACATAATCGAAAGTCCCAAGCTTATTTTATAAAATTGCTCTACAGTCTGCAAAAATAATAAGCCGGATCCAATTAAAAGATTAAGGAACAACGCAATCTGCAACATTAACTGAAATAGATAATTTTAGCTTCGCTTATACCGTCCATTATACATTAAACGCGCATGCGTAAACATATTATGTGCATGCGTTAACACATTATGCATAGACGCATGCGCAGAAAATTTGTAGTTTTGAGGTCTGGATTTTAGATCATTCCAGATTAAAGACTTTTGACTGTAATATTTTATCATATCAAAACATAATATAAAATAAAATTTGGGAATTTTATTATTTACTGATATTAGATAATTTGATATGTTCCAAATGAAACTACTAGAAAATACTCAAGGCAACAGTATGAACCATTAAAAAAAAAATATATATATAATATATATATATATATATATATATAATGTGCTTAAAAAAAAACCTGAAAATTTATGGAAGAATCTGATTTAATAGCAAAAATTTTGTTTTCCTTTTTTACAAATATGTTCTTTAGCTTCCTTCTGTTACATACATGTTCTTTGTTTAAATGATCTGGGCATTGAAAAATGCCATGATATGCGATAAAATGGATAAACAATGGAGATGTAATGTGAAAAATTATGACATGCAATTTATTTGCTATATCCATAATTTGTATCTTAACTAAGAATTAATGAAGAATGATAGGTTCATTTAAACTTTTTCCAGAATGGTTGGTGACACCTCTGCCAACTTTTATGTTCAGAGAGGTTTCGTAACCGGATGAAACCTACGAAATAGTCATCTTTTACAAGAGTGAAATGCTTTCCCCCCCTCTTCAAAATCTTAATTTTAAATGTAGGCTTTTGATATTCAAGTTGATATCAAATAAGATGAATTAAAAAACAAAAACTTAGCATATATTTTTCTTATTAAATTGGTTTTTATAACCTGAATTCCATTTTTTATATACTCAACTATCCAGAATTTGGCATTTCCTGAGTTTTCCGGATAGTCAAAAGTTTCCAATGCTAAAAATAATCAAAAATATTCACATAAAGTTCTATTATTTTAGGACCATAATGTAATCGTCGTGTAAAAAATTCATTAAGATAGAAATATCTTTGAGTTCTAATTTATGAAATCAATATTATGATTTGGCTATGTGCCAATACTTGAAGCCTGCCACTCTGTTTAAGAACATAAATTCCATAACAATTTATGAATAAATTCTCCTTTTGCAAAAAAATTGTATTAATCAAAACTTTTCATGATAGTCTGCATATCAATGCTAATCACTTAATCTACTACTATGAAACATTTTACTAAACTAATATTCCATTTTTAGTTATATACAAATTTATATATTTTGCTCTTCAATTTATGTATGACGGCAGAATTTTCAGAAAGCATGATCTACTTAACCACTAAATATTTTAGTTCAATTTTTATTGCTTGCGAATCAAAATTTTGGTTTTATTTTTTAAAATGAGTTTTACTTTTATTAAATTTAACATATAGTGACCATATAAAATTATTAGTTTTAACAGTTTTTAGAATCTTAAACTTTTTTAATTTAAAAATACCCAAAAGATGAATATTTGTGTCCTTCAAAACACTTTTGTTATTGAAAATGTATTTCTATGGCCTATTCTATTTCTATTTATAATGAAAATAAATGTTGCATAAAGACTTTTATGAACACAATATATAAAAAAATTAAATTATTATATTAAAACTTTAGATATTTATTCTAAAGCATTTTAAAATTAAAAAATTCTTAAAAGCCATAAAATATGAGACGGGCTGTTCTAATAATTCATAATATAAAGCTGTATATTTATATGAAAGATAACAAAACATTTCACTAAGTTTCCATGTAAAAAATTTAATTTATTACTTCCTCTAATTGGTGCTCAACAATTGTACTATGATCTAGGAACTTAAAAAATCCTTTAAATCTTGAACCTTTTAGAAAAAGTGGAAACCAGTACTTGTCATCTGCCCACATTTCATGGTACGGCAATTCGTTTTCTGGGTACCATTTCGGTAACATTTCTATTAAAAAATTAATCACAAAATTATATTTACTAAAAATTTCTATACATAATTGTTGGTTAATCATTTTTTTTATGGTCTCTCTCTCTCTCACACACACACACAAAAAAAAGGTAATCATAAATAAATAAATTAAATTCAAATAATTCTATGTCATAATGCATATACAGGATGTTTCGAAATTCATCCGAAGAAATTTAAGGGGTGATACAAAACATTTAAACGAGCAGGTTTCACCATATAACGCATAGACAGAACAAGCAATGAACCACTAAAGGGCACAGCAATGGAAAGTAAAAAGTGTGAGTTTTCTTACACACATCAATTCTACTATGGATTTCAGAACGACGAACAGCAATCAGGAAAAGGCGGGCATGCATTTTATATATGGTCTTGCAAATTGGAATGCTCTGGAAGCCGAAAGACTGTACAGCCAGTGCTTTCCAAGAAGACAAGTGCCACACCAAAAAATGTTTGAGCGATTGTTAGTATTTGCTTATAAAAGTATAACATTTGTTATAATATTTAAATCTTAATATTTGGCAATAGTAATGTTTTCCTGGATTGTGAAAGACTGATTTAATGCATCTGGCATCAGTAGAGAAGTATTATTTTGGGAGAATGTGGTAATTCTTGCTATAAATGTTCTTTAATATTCTTTTTGTAGTAGATGCTGCTTCGAAATTATAATACTTAGATATTGTCAACAGCATGGCTGTCCCCTCGGCTGATGAATTTTCTTATAAATCATTGATTGATGTTGCGGGATGGTAATAAAGCAATAGCTTAAAAAGATTGCTGATTTCTTTGATAAGTAAATCTGATTTTACATAATAATTTGTGAATATAAATTAGAAAAAAAGAAAAATATGGCATATAATATGATAAATCTGACTCAAATAGAACAATTAATTGATGAAAATTACCTTATGTGATGAACAGAATCGAAGGTGAATTAAGAAGTCTGAAAGTGTCATAGAAGCTGATGCTCCACCAAAACCATATAAAAGAGACAATGTTAATCACGGGAGAGAAATAAAAACTTGGGAGATGTGGGATGGTAATAAAGCAATAGCATGAAATATAATGAATCAAACAATGACAGCTTCATAAGCATTAAAATATGCCAATGAAAAGAACGCAAAGAAGCTATGGGAGAAAATAAAATATCAAATGGTGGCAAAAAAGAATATATTCAAATAAAATGTAGAATAGAATTAGCTTAACTAAAAATGAGGCACGGTTAACATGTAGATGATACATGAATAGAGCTATAATTTTGAAAAGTAAAAGTATTCAAGTGGGGAAAGAAATAAAAGATAAAAAATTAATTTACTTCATATTAGGACTTGAATGAACTTGATGTCAAAATCACTAACGACAGAGAAAATGATATAGGTGCAATTAGACATGCATTAAAAGAAACTTAAAAAATAAATAAATAAAATAAAATAAACAGAGACAAAAAGAAACAGAGGTAGGTTCTAAAGCAAAAGAAAGCTGGACAAAATCGAAATATCATGAAAGAAAATACTTTAACTAAGGAAAATTAGGACATTTATCAAAAGAATGTCATAATATAATAAAATGCTTTAGTTGTGGAAAATTAAGCTTCAGATCAACTGAATGTAGAATGAAAACCAAACAAGAACATAAAAAGCCAAGAAATTTAACAAACAGAACTTTTAGAATGGTAAGCAAGGAAAAAGAAAATGAATCAGTTACATGTTTATGTGAAGTATGTAAGAAAACAGTAGATACTTCATCTTTTAATCAAGATAGAAATGACAAGAAGAATTAAAAAAAAAAAAAAATCAGAAAAATTAAATGGATTATGGATTTAGGAGCCACTTCTCATTGGCAAGAAGTAAAGAAATGTTTACCAGTTTTAAGGATGAACAGCAAGTGATAATGACAGCTGAAAATGGAGCTATAATATAATCAAATCATTTGGTACTGGTAACATTAAAGTGAAAACTGAGAGAAAAAGGAACATTTTGAGAGTAGAAAATGTTCTGCAAATACCAAATTTAAGAGAAAATTTACTGTGAATACCAAAATTGTAGATCATGATTTAAAAATAATTTTTACCAAAACTAAAGCAGAAGTGATCAATAAACATGGAAACATTCTGTGTATAGCTAACAGAAACGGAAATAAATTTGAAAGAAATATAATAGAAGATGATAAAATTAATAATTTTAATAATATACTGTAGCATCAGAGACTAGGTCACATAAGCTACCAAAGATTGAGAGAAATGAAGAAAAACTAAGCAGTCACTAGATTATAGAAAAGTTTCCAAGAAGAGCTGTGAACCCTGTACATTGGGAAAAATGACATGAGCTTTTTACAAAAGTTTAAATTCAAGCAATATGAAGATATTTTAGAATTGTGGCATTAAGATTTAGTTGGACCAGTTAAGTAGTCAATAGATGAAAGTATTTTTTTTTTTTTTTTAATATTTCTAATTATAGTAACTTCATGTTTGTGATTGGAACTGAGGAAAAGAGTGAAACCGCAGAATCATTAATAAAGCTTAACACTCAACAGAAAAGAAACTAAAAAGAATTTGCAGCTTTAATGGCAGTGAATTCTTAATTAAAAGCATAAAGAAATTTTTGGAAAAATGGGAATTAAACATGAATTTAGAACACTTTTACTTTGGAGAGTCATGGAAAAGCTGAACATTTTAATCATACTATAACTGAAACTGGAGTAAGTGTTGAAGTAGTTGTACCTGTGAATGGCAGGAGACACAAAAATAACAAAAAGCTTATACCTTATGGAACTGTATACAGAACACAAGCTGTTGAAATCTGAATCTGCTGAAAGTCCATTTTGGCTATATGCAATGATAGATGAACTGAGTTCAATGGTTATCTTAAAAGATTTGGATGTGAAGCATATGTTGATAGAAGTTCAGAAAAATGAAGAAAATGGATCTAAAAGCTCAAAAAAGGAATTATGATGGGGTATAGCATTAAGAGAAAAGCATACAAAAGTGATATTCCTGAACTAAATCAAATTGAAGAAATGAAAGATGTAAAACTTAATGAGCAGAAACTCAGATCAGTTTTATTTAAAAAGAAATTATTTAAAAATCAAATGTTAGAAGGATTTATTATTTTCTGCAAGGAACAAACTAATGACAGAGATAAGAAAAAACTGATAAAGGTTAGAGAAAAGATATAACGGAGGAAATTTTACCATCAAATACAAATGATGAACATAATGAAATCAGCTCCTTGGAAATGCCAATATCAGAGTCCTCTCGAGTAATGCAAGAACTTGGAAACGGTAATTATGAAGTTCTGCACAGAAGAGACCAGTGAGAGTGTGAGAAAAATTAAAAGATTATATAGTATACAATACAAATGAGGAGTTGCATAAGACATATGATGAAGCTGTGGAATCTGCTGAAAGTCTGCATGTAATGATAGAACACATGTAATGATATGTAATTTGGCTACATGTAATTTGGCTACATGTTAATATAGTAACTTCATGTTTGTGATTGGAACTGAGGAAAAGAGTGAAACCGCAGAATCATTAATAAAGCTTAACACTCAACAGAAAAGAAACTAAAAAGAATTTGCAGCTTTAATGGCAGTGAATTCTTAATTAAAAGCATAAAGAAATTTTTGGAAAAATGGGAATTAAACATGAATTTAGAACACTTTTACTTTGGAGAGTCATGAACATGAAATAATGATGAACACATGTAATTTGGCTACATGTAATGATAGAACTGAGTTCAATAGAGGCTTTGGGAATTAGTTGAAAGATCCATTGACAAGAAAATTATTAAAAGCTATTGAATATTAACTAAAAAGGAGAAAAAGTATAATTTAGAAACAATTTACAAAGCATAATGTAAAAACTGCATATTTAAATGGATATGTTAGCTTACATGGAGCAAAGACCTGGATTTATCTCAGATCCCAGCAATCTTGTGAACTAAAGTGCACATGGATTGCCATTCAGGAAGATGCTAATATGAAGTTTTTAAGAAAAAGAATTTAACAAGATTAAAATCAGATCCATGTAATCAGATATTTACAAAAATAAGTCCAACTATCTTATCGTAGCAGCATATGTGGATGACCTAATGATTACTGGAAATTCAAATTCTAAAACAGATAACTTCATCTCTGAACTTTCTAAATTATTTGTCTTATGAGAAGTCGCTAAAACACAAAAATCTTTAGGAATTGACATTAGACAAGAATTTAGAAAACTTATTCTCAGTCAAGAAAACTATATAACTAAAATTTCAAAAACTTTTGAAATGAATGAATGTAAACTTGTTATTAGTTTTATTTAAAATTAACAACTTCTTCACCAGTAGCAAAAACAAAATATCAAGAAGCATTAGGTTCACTGATGTACTTAATAAAAGGCAAAAGCCAGATTAAGCTTTCACCATTAGTAATTTGTCAAGATAAAGATTTTAAAGAAAAACACTGGGAAACAGTGAAGAGGCAATTTAGATACATTAAAGGAACACAAAATATATGTTTACTATATACTTCAGACATTGGACATTATTTTACTAAATTAGGTAAAAACTTCATAAATTGGAAATGCAACAAACAAAGAATAGTTGCTCTGTCTACAGTGGAAGCTGAAATTTCAGCATTTTGCAAATATGCATGTGAATTTAAATGGTATATCTATTTACTTGAAGAATTGTAGCAAGATAATCTAATTGACAAACCTACTGAAATTAAAACTGATTGTCAAGCATTAACAGATTGGATTTAAAAAAAAAAAGTAGTAGTTCAAGGTACATTAACTGAAAATATTTCTTTGTAAAAGATGAATATGAAATTCAAATCATTCCTCAGTGTAAGTGTCCCATAAATCAAGAAAAGGATGTTTTAACAAAATATCTACATAGTGTAAAATTGAAAGATAAACTTTTAAAGTATGAACGTATCTGAGTAATTAAAATTATGTCTTTTAACACAAATAAAGGAGGAATTGATAGTATTTGTTTTTAAAAGTATAATTTCATGTCTTAATATTTGGCATCATCGATGTTTTTCTTGATTGTGAGAGACTGAGTTATCTGGCATCAATAGAGTTACAGATTTGGAGAATGTGGTAATTCTTGTTTTTAATAAAAACTATATTATTAAATGTTCTTTAATAAAGTTTCCTTTATATGATAATTTTTAATGTTTCCTTTCTGAAGCAGGTGTTGCTTAGAAAATATAACATTTAGAAATCATCAGCAGCCCTGGATAAGCCTTGAGTATATGTGGGAATTTATTCAGGAATGAGATAACCTTAAGCAGATGCAGGAAAAGAGCTATAGTCCTTAATCTCATGCTATATTTTCAATAGTGTACAGTGGATGCTAGCTAAGCTTTACAATGATAACTGCATATTTGAAGGTTTTCAGATAGCCCAAACAAAAAGTTATGTTTTCCTATAAACAGAATTTGTGGACTGTGGTAATAAATGATGTAGCAGAAGATTTTCCATTGCAATGGCAATGCCCTAGTCATCATCTAATGGATGGTGAGATCTGTAGTATGGTTCTAACACCAGAAAACATTGCTACCAATAGTGAAGGAAGTGACAGTGTTGAGAATAAAACACTTTCTATTGATATTTTAAGTTCTCAAAACAGGAATTACAGAACTTGAACAATGTAACTTTGTAATTATTGAGAAAGAAATTATATCTATCTGTAGAATTAAAAAGAAAGCATTAGCCTAAAAAAATTAAGCAACTTTAACAACTTACATTGAAAGAAATGTTTAATAAAGCAAACAAATAAATATCGAGAATTTTTTTTTTTTTTTTTTTTTTTTTTGGTGGTTAATTTTGATTCCCTTAAGATTATAAATGCTTGGTTATTTTATAAACAACTATTTCATACTTTTAATTTTATAATTTTTACAGGCCATCTTACTAAATTTAAACTGATGACCTAATATCTAGAAAAATCCCAAATCCAGAATTGCTGAAGTCCCGATGACTCTGGATCTCGGACTTTGTACTGTATTTGTCAGTGTCTGTAAAAATTTATTCGTGCAGGGAAAAGTCATTCACACATCAGCCTTTAGTTAAATACACTTAGCAAATCAAAATTAGAAAAAAATTATTATTTTTATTTCAGACTCATTTGGCTGTTCAGTTAATTTTAGCCTGTCACAAAATATAATGCAATAACATATTTCATGTTAACTAGCATGGTGTATATAATAAATTATCTTTTCATTTATAAGGGTTATAAATTTAAAGATGAAATTTTTCACAGACATAAGCATTTTGTAAGGATTTATGTAATAAAACATGAAAATACAAACCTTCAGTTTCTTGCAGTTGTCCCTTGAATGTAGAGGATGTAAACACATGGACTTGCATAATTAGTGGATTTTGAATGAATTCAAATTCTAAATATCCCACATTATCCAAATGATCTGCATAAATGCCAGATTCTTCTAAGAGTTCCCTAATATGAAAATCCAGCATTTTAAAACAGCACAAAGAGATAATTATATCATTCAATAATAGAAATGCATTATTAAACAATTTTGAATTTGCAATTATAAAACTGGGGTAGTTACAGTCAGAAGCAGAATTATGTAATAAATTTATGATGGTCTCTATATTCTAAGGTCTCAAATTATAAATTTAAAAAGAACCAGATAACATGGGTTAATTTTGAACTGACACAGTTTAGAGAAATTTATTATACGTAGAAAATATTTTTAGGACTGAAAGAAAAACAGCCAAATTAAAACGGAGGGTTAAGGAATTAGTTGCAAATTAAAGTAAATGTTTCAATTTACATTTTTTTATCTCAACAGAAAGAAATTCAGTATATGTAATGATGAACGAACAGATTTACTGCTTTCATAATTCAGTATTCTGATGGCAAAATGTTTTTAAAAAAACTAAATTTCCATACGTAGTTTGATAGCATTTCTTAATTTTTAACTGAAAAAAAAAACTGTTGCTTGCTACTATTATATCTATTATATTTATAAAAAACATACAGAAAATAACTTAAAAAGTAGAAAAATTTACACAACATAAACCGCTTTTATTGCAGTGCCCTTGGCTAACTCTTCAGTAACTGATATTCAATAGAAGAGCATATCTGAGCAAATCCATGCTATTTCAAAAACATAAATTTAATACAAAACAAAATATATACTACTCAGAAAAGAGAATAATATTATATGCATGCTTTATCACTTCTTCTTTTTTTTTTTTTTTTTTGTACATTTTGATTCTCTTAAGGTCATAAATGCTTCTTTATTTCATAACAAACTATTTCTTATTTTTAATTTTATAATTTCTATATGTCTTCTTACTAAATTTAAACTGAAGATCTGATATTCACAAAAAAACTCCAAATCCAGAATCGCTGAAGTCCCGATAAGTCTGGATCTTGGACTTTGAATTTTATCTCATACTTTGTTTGTGTGGATGCAGAAACACAGTATAACAAATATGGAAATAAAAAAAAAATCATTTTAATTGCAGACGGTTACAAATGTTTGATATTCACAAGAAAAGTTCCAGGTTTGATTGTTGTAAATTCTGGAAGATACCAAGCACACCACATAGTTTTACAATAACAACACTTAATTCCAATGCCCCAATCTTTAAGAGTTTCAATCTACATCTTGTAAACAAAACTTTTCAGATGTTATCAGAGAAAGACAGTCAGGAGAGATTTGGAGATCAAGGGCCAAAAGATGGAGACACTTCACAGAATAAATTAGTTTAGAAATTCAGTATTCAAAGTAATTTCACATTTTCATTGTTTTACCAGGCCAGCACTTCTTTGTGCTAGAACATTGTGCTAGCTTTGTTAGATGACTTCCAGTAAATAATGGAAGATTTTCTGAAGCAATATATGGTACTTTGTTCTCCTGAAGCAGCCTTTAAAGTTGTCAGCCCAATTTATTTTAAAGAAATTTTATATTACTGCATTTACTTAAAAATATGACCCACTTTTGTTGTATTTTTCTTCCAAAATTTGGTAGAAACTTATATTTGAGTATTTTAATAAATGAAATTGCAAAATGACAAAAAAAAAAAAAAGTTTAATTATTATATTGCAATAGCTTATATGCATTTATTTTCAGGCACTTAACTTTTTCAGTGTTATTTACAAATATCAATTACTAAATATTAGTGAAATTACTTTATTTTAATTTCACATATACTATTGATCGTCTATTTTAAAACCTGCTTGTTTTGAAAATAGTTATTCAAAATGTTTCTGGTTTAAAAAAAAAAAAAAAAAAAAATTAATTTAAAAGTACTGAAAATGAACTCGCATATGTATCTGGCCACTTTGAATAAACAGTTTATATTTAGAAAATTGTGGAACATTCAATATTTCATGGGATATCTTTTAACTAAAATTGCACTTTTTTCATGCACGGAGTCAAGTAGTTTTTCCCAGTAAAAATGCTCCACTTGTCTTTTTCTTATGTAAGAATTTCTTTCAACAGAACTTTTGAAGAAACATAACGTTTCTTTTTTCCCCCTTTTCAACTCACTCCATACAAATTCCAAAGAATTTAAGTATGGAGAATATGTAGAAATTATGATAACTTCAAGACAGTTGTGTGAAAGAACTATTCTAATTGTTAATCTACATTCTAAAATTTCTTGTTTCATAAAAATAAATATTAAAGTTTAATTTAAATAAATCTCTTACACCATCGCTGCAAGGAATGAAATTTGAATTTAACAAACATTCTCTATTCGTATAAAGCAAATTTAATATTAATTAAGATTAAAATTATAAATTATGAAATTTTAATTGCATACAAATGATTAATTATTGCTGTGAACTAATTTACAATATCATTTAAATTCTGAGAGCATATGTAAACTAAGTGCAAGTATCTAAAACCATGAATAAATATTATATAATAGTATTCCAAAAAATTAATACCCCCCCCCCAAAAAAAAAAAAAAAAAATTTAAGACTAAATCAATTTGCATTAGTGAATAATTGTTGAGCAGGCAGGAGATAGATCATATCAAGGAAAAGTTGCCTCCAAAACTAACTCTTCAATTACTCAATTTGTGTTTTGTCATCCATATAGGCATGGTTATAGTAATATTCAAAACCAAAAGTAAATCAAATGTAGTGAATTACTAAAAAATTTAAACAAAGGGAATTTTGAGAAATTTAGAAAGAAAATTGACTAAGAATCAAAATAATAATTAAATTAAATGCAAATTGCCAATGTAAAAAGTGTAGAAAACCAAAGTAACTTAAAAACCTTTGCCTATTTGAAAACTTCCCCCGACACAAATTATGCATGTAAATCAAAAATAAACTATATACAATCTATAAAAAATACATAAATAATACACAGTGACTGAAGAGTTAGGTTTCGAGGCAACTTCTTGATATGATCTGTCTCCTACCTGCTCAACAATTATTCACTAATGCAAATTAATTAAGTCTTAAAAAAATTTTGGGGGGGGGAGGATATATTAATTTTTTGGAATATTATATAGCATTTAGTCATGGTTTTAGATACTTGCATATGCTCTCAGAATGTAAATGATATTGTAAATTAGTTCACAGCAATAATTAATAATTTATTTGTATGCAATTACAATTTCATAATTTAAATTTTTTATTTTAATTAACTTTAAATTTGCTTTATATGAATAGAAAATGTTTGTTAAATTCTAAAATTTCTTTATACATGTACAAAAGGACCTAACAAAAATTTGTACTGTTCCTAAATTATCAAATATTAATTGCTAATCTATGAAATTTTTTACATATTTAAAAGAAGACCTATGAAAAAATTGAGTACTTATATATTAATGCAACCTCTTTGGCATAATTAAGAGATTTTTTATAGATGAAAAGGTAAAAGTTACTTATCGGGCACAAATTAGTGGTTTGGACAAATTTTTTAAAAAATTTCCTAACTATTGATATTTATTGTAAGTTGGCAAACATTAACTTAACTAAACATATTTTAGTAATAAATTACTTACAGAAAATCCCGTTGACCACAAGAGACAGCGCCAATCGCTCCAAACCTACCATTTACTAAATAAAAGACTCTTCTGTCAGTTTAGGGGTTAACTTTTATTGCAAACCGTTCTTCTAAATCTGTTGAACATTCTACAGTACTAATTTTTGGATCTTGTTTGATTTTTCATAGAAAAATCTGCAATTATTTGGTATTAGCTTGGAATGTAGTCCACATTATAATGCATTTGCAACATTTCCATACAGTTCCACCGTTTTATAACATCAAAGATAGTTAAACACTTTACATGAATGATTTTTTGGATATTTTGAATACTTCTGCCATTTTTCAAAAAGACAAATTATTAACCCGCGAAGACGCGTGCTACTTTTAGCTACGCAAGGACGCGCATCGGGCTCTGTAGGCCCGAAGCGTTATTTCTTAAAGAAACATAAAAACAAAAAAATTGCTTGTGTAATTGTAGAAAAACATTTAAATAATAAAAACAGAGTATATAAAATATAAAAATATACTTTTAATTAAATATGTCTAATAAAATTGTATTTTAAAACAATTTTAAGACTGAAATTATTTATCATTTAAAACAAAAATCAAACTCATTTCTTTTTGTGTGCAAATGAAATTTAGTAGTACTAATTTATGCAATATTAAATTTTTACAGAAATAATTTCAAAATAAAATTTACTTTCAAAATTTTTTGTAAAAAATTGTGACGTATACATTACCGCAAACAATTTTCTCGCACTTTGCGCAGCAAATCTGCGATTTTCAGTCCTTTACGCTAGGACATATATGGCACCTTTTCCTGGAACACTTCTGTTTTTTTGCCGGGCGTCTTTCCCAGTCTTTCCTATACCTGCAATTTAATTTTTAACTCAATTTGCATAGAAGATTTTGCTGCGAATTTCTTTCTTGAATGTGATCCTATCAAAGTTCTAATGCAAGTACTTTGATAAATAAACTTTGTTTCCTATATTGCATTACTGGCATCTTCGCAGATAACAATAACATTCTAGCATTTATAGCTGCAATGTTGAACACACTGAATAATACTGTCTTTGGCCATCTGTTGCTAATTCTAGCAGTAGTATACGTGGATTCAATCCACTACATCTACAGCACCTTTTGTTAAAGCTTACAAATTTTTTTTTTTTTTTTGCTTCTCCAGTGGAAACATCGATGGCGCTGTCATTATGCATGGTGGACAACAGAACAACGCATTTATTTTTGTTTGGTGTGTAGGAAATTAATGCCATATTTCTTTGAAATCCAAATAATGATGAATATACTTCTCTTTTTTTTTTGCCACAGGTAAAATCTTTTGGCAGTTCTTTTTAATTTTTTCTGGTAGTTCCCACGAGCATAATTTTCTTTTCATGGAGATCCTTTGCCAAGGTACAACTGGTATACCAGTTGTAAATGTTAAGGTTGCAGCCTGAATTCAAAATAGGTTCCACAAGCCTCTTGATTACTTTATCAGGATCATTTTTTTGAGCTATACAGCCCAGTGGGTTCCTGCATAAATTTCAAAATTTGAAGTGTAAAATGCATCAACTACAGCAAAAATTTTGATTCCATATTTTGCAGGTTTACTTGGAATGTATTGATGAAAGGAGCATCTTCCCTGAAAGGGTTCTAACTTTTCGTCAGTCGTGACGTATTCTCCAAGACTGTAAACCTTTTTGCAATTTTCAACGAACTTTTCAAAAACATTTCGGTTCATCTTTGGATTATGGTAACTTGGCGATTTTTTGGCGAAAATTTGGCGACCAACTCTGCTACAGCAACCCTCTATTTTTTTTCCCCCGCCGCCATTTTTTCTTCACGAAGTAAAGACATGTTTCTTTTCTTTTTATTTACTCACACTCAACACGTTTTTTCAACAACAATCTACTAACTAACCGAATTACACTTATGCTAGAAATTTTATGTAACAAAACTGCTTAATCATGACAAATATTAACTGGAAAATTGGGAAAAAGTGCACAATCGCAAACTCCTTGCGCATTTTTCAGAATAGCACATACACATAAACCATATACATGTCGACTTCTTTTTACTTAAAAAAACATCCCAGAATTGCACAAAAATGGCATTGCACACACTCTTAACTTTATCCATCTATATTGCTATTTTCTCATAATATACAAAAATTTGCACGAAAATGCATGAAAATTTTGTGAATCTTTAAATCCGGTAAAAAGCACATATATGAAATTACCTGATCGCGAAAAAGTATATACCCTTTCCAAGAATGAACATTTCCACGTATAAAATAAATAAAACATCCAAAAGCTTTTACCTCTAAATTATCTATTATATTATAAACGTAACCAACGAATTTATACACAAACATTAAAAATAGTTACAAATACTTAGTTTCGAATATTTAAATTATTTCCATACACGTTTACTTCAACTGAAACATATACCAAATTCCTACAAACATAAAATTCACAAAATAACTATCATTTAATTAAAATATAACTAAACCATGTACACGTCGACTTATGTTTACTTTAAAAAAACATCCCAGAATTGCACAAAAATGGCATTGCGCACACTCTTTACTATATCCATGTACACTGCTTTTTTCCCATAAATTAGAAAAATTTCACGGAAATGCATGAAAATTTTGTGAATCTTTAAATTCGGTAAAAAGGACATATATGAAATTACCTGATCGCGAAAAAGTATATACCCTTTCCAAGGATGGACATTTGCACGTATAAAATAAATAAAATATCCAAAAACTTTTACCTCTAAGTTATCTATTATAAACGTCACCAACGAATTTATAACAAAACATTAAAAATGATTACAAATACTTAGTGTCAAATACTTAAATTCTTTCCATGCACATTTACTTCTACTCAAACGTATTCCAAAATACTACAAACATATAACTCTCAAAATCACGATCATTAAATTAAAATATAATTAAATTAAAATACACAACTTAAAATATAAATAAGCACATACATTAAATTAATAGAAATTAGCTTACAATCCTAATTACTTTAAACTAAATTCATTGCTAATAAACAATTTTCCAATAATACCATATTAAATTTATATGTTCCTTACATTTAGAACAATGCATAAAATAATATCCTCAAATAATTAAAAATACTAACTTACCTAATCTTCTACAGAATCTTGAGTACATGGTGGATCACAAAATGTCCATTTTCACCAGGTTTCTTGCACCGCCATTCAAACTTATCTGTAATATCCTTCCTTTCACACAATCTCTCTTTTATCTCATTTCATTCTCACATGTTGGACATTCATACTTATCCGCAATTAAGCAATTCTTTTCAATTACACATAAACGTAATAAAAATTTTGGATTTACTTTATATACGGCCATGGGATCCAAATATTAAACAACACTGTTTCACAGAACATAGAATGAAACTACTCCTATAAAGTACAGCAGATATTTTTACAATATACCCCCTTTTCCGATTAAAGAATAGTGATTCGTCCATTAATGTCACATGACATATCTCATGATCTCTCATTTCCCTCACACAAAATAATGCGTAATCGGAACTGAAAACTTCTCACATTATTCCCAAAGTCCTAGGTAGTAACCTTTATCGCCTCCAAAATGTCGCCAAACTACCATATTCCAAAGATCAGCCAACATTTCTTATTGGAGCCAGTTTATCCATTTCTCTTCTAGAAGGACAATCTCTTATGTCTCCGATTTCTGGAATATTTGTGGGTCAAGAATCTCTCTATCTTCCATATTTGACGGTTATCTGTGCCAAGATAACAATTCACGGAAACAGAAATACTGAATTTATCGCTTAAGTCTAATGCCTTTTCAGAATTCATTTGATCACTAAACTGTTCTTCATCAACTATTTCTTCATCTTCTTCATTAATTGAAACTTCATAAGTCAAAACTTCGGCTAATAGTTTCTATAATCTTTTCATTTCCTCATCATAACTCAAATATCGAGACATTTTTGCAACTGCCTGACCTCTTCCACAATTTTAAAGACAATGTGAGCCCGTGCCTTGGGCCTGGAAAGCCCAGCTACTCATTTTCTTAGAAAAGATGGAGGATAAATTCCGGAAATGCTCGTGAATGACACGTACATGACCTTAAACACAGCTACTGAGAACGTCAATAAATTCCACCAAAGGGTGAAATTTTTGTAACGACCGCACCTGGTAGGACCGACGTGTGTCCTCGCGGATTAAATTTATAACAGAATTGGTTGCTAATTTACAGTGTCCTGCCATGTTCAGTTGCTAAACAAGTAAACTTTCCAGATGCAGGCCATAATATATTTTTTTACATGTATTTTCATTTGAAACAAATATATATATATATATAGCGAGAAACAACGCAGCCCGCAAAAAGGCCATAGGGTGACGCAAAGTCTGCCAGGAGGGTTGGGCTGCGTCCCTCATATCATAACAAGAAACAATGTCAACTGAAACATTTCATTAAAAATTTAGAGCAAGTTATTATGCCAGTTACTAATTAACACTTTTTTACTAAGTTATTTAATTACAAGGAATATTTCAATGATATTTATTTGATTACATTCAAGGCTTAAAATAAAGAAATAATATATCTGAAAAAATTTTGGGGAAAGTGCAGAATCCCCCAATGCTTGGGGCATTTTTAAAAATTGCACTAACTTGGTATCCATGTACACATCGACCTATTTTCACTTGAAAAAACATCCCAGAATTGCACAAAAATGCCATTGCGCACTCCCTGGACTTTATCCATGTACACATCGACCTATTTTCACTTAAAAAGTCAAAGAAAATTGACAAAAATCTAATTCCTCTTGTAAAAAGCACCAAACAAATAAGTGGGCAATTCTGCACTTTACCCAAACTTTTGAGGTCTACGTTTCAGCATTCAGTACAAGACCTAAGCAAATGAATTTCAAAAGTACATGCGTCCAAAAACAAGTGTGAACCAATGTATACAGAATTGCACTGTTTAAATACTAAATAAACCACACACATAATTACCAACTATTTAACTAATATATATATATATATAGCTAATTATGTCTAGCAAAGCAACTTCACTTCAGGCTTGTATCCATCATACTAGAAACAGATAGCCCTAGTGTGCTTTGACATAATCTACTAAACCATTATACTAACTATGGATATGCCTGAAAACGAGCATTTAATAATCCATCATTTTCTTTCTATACTGTAATAGAATATTATATTTAATTAGGTAGCTTGTTTATCATTCTAATCAGAACTATGCTGTGATCAGATAATCACCTACATTTTAATTTTTTAAATTTATCCTTAAATGCAGTAACTATTCCAACTCATTTTTAATAATATTATTTTAATATACTTAATTTTTCAATATATAATTTATAGGAATAAGTGGTTTTTTTTTATTATTTATTTATTTTTTTTAGAGGGGGTCTTTTTTTCCATTTATTCAGTTCTGGAACAAAACTCTCACCTTTTAGCGCATTCAAGTATGGATTCACCTTCTTGGATCTTACCGCCAAATCCATTCCATTTTCCTGCGCCAAAGCCTCGTTTTTTTAAGCCTAAAAGGATGTTTCCGTCTTTTCGTAATAGAACTAAACTTGAAATTTTAGTAGATATCATTTTTTCGAAATAAAATTAATAATCAAATGATATATACGGAAACATGACGGAAACTAATTGTACTGATTTTAAAAAGAGTGCTGAATCTCGTATCCTGACACCTGTTTCTCAAAGAAGCCGAACGACAAGCAGACGAATTTATGCATAATGCCACAAGGACATACACAGCATTAAGAAAAAACTGTTTTACAAATTTGAGTATTATGTGATAACTTTCCTAAATTCCATAATTATCTCAAGATTTAAGAATAAATTCAATTTTTATTTTATAATAAACAGAAATGTTTCATTACCTGCAATAACGTATATTATATCTTCAGTTTTAGAGAATCAACAAATTATATTTCATAAAAACATTGCAAATAATGATAAATAATAAAGATCTCTAAAAATTACATTTGTATCTAATTTAACGCAATTAATTTTGAATTACAATTAATCAATCATACGATTCGTATTTTGAATTTGAATCAATTTTTATTGCGAAAGTGTCGATGTGATAAATCACAGTTAAAAAGTAACCGCAATATATTGGAAGAAAATTGAAAATGCCTATCTAAATTTTGTGTTTGTACAAAATAAAATAGAACTTGTACTATAAGTACATCAAAATTGTTTTTCTTTGTCGCCTATGGCTTCCCGCTATAAGTGCTGATTCAAACCGTGTTTTGATCGATAATTAAATTAAGGGTATGTAGCTGTACTGTGACAAGTAGACGCAATTTCCTAACCTATCTACTATTTGTAAAGTCAACAAGGGATATATTTTGAAATTTTTGAAAGCTTACTTAGTAGCCATTTATGTGAATTTATATTATAGCTTTCATCCATAGTAATAAAACGGTATATCTAGTATTATTTCGTAGTTACATCAAGTTGATGGTATTGTTTTCAATGTCAATTAATTAAACTGATTAATGTAACATACCGAATGTTATCTCGAATATTAATTTATACGATTTGAATTATTCCTTAATATATTACTTCATTTTATAGCTGGCGATTTTTTGGTGGGGGAAAAAGTGTGTTATTTAGAATTTTAACTATAATTTGAAATATTATATGAATTAACCAAGTATGAAAAATGAGTGATTATTAGTATTATAATTTTATATGTATAAACTGTCATATTTGTGTGAAGTTATTTATCAATAGTCATTATTAAAATAATAAGAAAAAATGTAAATTATAGTGAAGGCATTATTTTGATTGCACAGTAAATTTTATGTGCCGTTAGAAAAGCTGTGTAAAACATATAATAATCACACTGATGTTTGTGCAGTTTTATAAAGAAAGAAATGAAAAATTTAGTATATGAAAAACGCAATGTGATATTTAAATATGTTTAAATGTGTTACGTTTTGAATATGAGTTTTGTATAATTTAGGTCAAATAATGGAATTAATTGGCAAATTTAAATCGTACTGAATAAGGAATTAAATTAATGAATTAATTGAATTACACTACTCACAAAATCTGTTTTTCACATACTGTTGGTACGTTTAAAGTATAATGTTGGTATAACTTAATAGGCATGCAAATCATAACTTGAAAAGGGACTAAAACATAATTGGTCTTAAAAATTTAAATAAATCATGAAAGTTACGTCATTCTATAGTCTAGTATATTATTCAGTATTGATCTGTTAAAAACTTGTTACTAAATTTCTTCATGAAATTACCCACATGGTTAACTATAAATTGTAAAAATATCTGCAGAATGATGTTATTTTGATAGCTAAAATTTATTAATAAAGTTTATGTTGTTATACTCATCAGTGAAATGTAGATTTTTTTTTTTTTTTTTCTCTTCTGTCAGATGCGAGGGTATTGTATGTTTGGGGTTCAACAAAATAAGTGAGACTTTTTATAAAATAAAAACATAGTTACTATTGCTGATATTGTTGAGTAATGAGTTGCGACTTATCAATGACATTATAAAAATATTAACAGAAAAAATTGTAGTATTGCTATTGAGTTTAAAACCAGTATATGTCACTTATAGAACTACCCTTTATTTATTTATATATTTATTTTTTTGTTGCTTGCTTGGAAATCGTGCTAAATTTCACCAAACTTTTGCTGATTTTTTTTTTTTTTTTTTTTTTTTTTTGTTTTTGTGAATGATTCAGCACTTTACACTGAGACGGAGAAACCAGAAATTAAATGGCATCCTGAAGTTTTATGAAACAAAAAGGTATATTATTTGATAAATATAATTGGTACTACTCCATTTCTGGAGGGGGGCGACATAAAAAAAAATTGCTTAACTACTACCAATTCCAGTGATTAATTGTGGTAAACCTAACGCAGTTCACGAGTTCGATGTCGAGCAGTTTGCGAGATTATTTAATACAATTCATGAGTTCAGTTTCTTTTTCACTTGCAAATTTTTTCCAAGAATTATGTATTTATTTAAGGCATTTATTTCTGTTCCCCCTGACTCGTCAGGACTTCAATTCCGGATTTGGGATTTTTCTGATTATTAGATCATCAGTTTAAATCTAGTAAGATGGCATGTCGAAATTATAAAAATAAAAAATATGAAACTGTGTTTTATGAAATAATGAAGTATTTATGATCTAAAGGGTATCAAAATTTACCCCCCCCCTTGAAAAAAAAAACTGAAGATTTATTTGTTTACCTCATTAAACATTTCTTTCAGTGTACGGTGTTTAAGTTGTTTCATTTTTTTGTGAAAATACTTTCTCTTTAATTCTGTAGACAGACATAATATCTTGTCCAAGTTATATTGTTGAAGTCCTGTAACTGCTGTTTTGAGAATTCGACTAACTTGTCAATCGAAATTTTCTCATTTTCAGTAATTTCTCTGTCACTTTCTTCACTATCGGTAGCAGTATTTTCTGGATCTAGAACCATAGTACAGATTTCGCCATTCATTGATTGATGATTGTATTGTCATCATAATGAAAAACTTCTTTTATATCATCTTCATTTATTACCGCTTTTTCACATTTCTTTACAAAATCCATTAATTGTAAAATTTCACCTTTGTTTTGCGATATCCGAAAACATTTAAAATTAGCGGCTATCATCATCAAATTTAGCTATCCTTCACTATACATATTTGGCTATGAATCATGAGCTTGGCGACTAACGACAAGCTGTTCTGTTAATTTTTATCTTGGTCCTGTTGTGCAACGAGACAGTTAAGCCTGAATTTTATTAGTTATTTATTATATTTATGTCAGTTTCTTGCAAATGCTTTAGGCTTATCAGAGTTCTGAATAAATAAATTCTCACATATACTTAAGCCTTATTGAAGGTCGGCGCTAGATATCTTACCGCCTGATGCAGTCTATGTGAGTCCTAAATTCTGAGAATCAGTATGGCCATACAACTGCTGGTGCTGGCTCTAGGTTTATGTGAATAACAAACCAGTTATTCTTAAAATGCATAGCCCTAAATGTAATCTTTGGATCTCTGAATATCATCAACAAAATCCATTTTTAGCATAGAGAAAGAAATTTTTTCTCATCAACAGTTTTTAGCGCATTTAACTTAAATCTGTAATCATTGTCAAGCAAAATGTCAGCATAAAAGGTTACAATACTCCTCTATTGTTCAATTACAAAAAAAAAAAAAAAAAAAAAAAAAAAAAAAAAAAAAAAATTAGGCATTGCTACATGAGTCATTACTCAAGTTGTCATGTGTTGATAAACATGCAGTGATGAAAGGAAAGTATAATAATGATTTGCAAGGTTGGCATAAGAGTCAGATCAATGATTTATCTATGTGGAATGTTTCGGTTTGAGATGTGTGCGAAAAAGCAGATAAGCAGCAATGGAGCCAAATTACTGATCGTACAAATTTATGCTAAACTGTTTGTTTCTTTAATAACAAGGTATTTTATTTAGTTTCGAAGTGAAATTAAGAATCGGGACTCTCCAGATTTTTTTTATCTGTGGCAGGGGGGGATGAAATGCATATGTGTAAAGCCTAGGAGAAAAACGGTGGTGGTGGTTTTGAGGTCCGGATTTTTAGATCATTCCGGATAATGGACGTCCGGATTTCGGACTTTGTACTGTATAAAATTTTTTTAATTTTTTTATTGTAGAACATACAAATATAGTTTTTTGCAATAAAAGATATTAATAAACCCATTTAAATCTGAAATGTCATCCTGTTTTAATATGTATAGTTTACATTTTCATGTCATTTCATTATTCTTTTTTCTTTTCTTTAAAAAAAAAGGAGGAATAATGTGATGCTGGCACTTTAAATAGGAAAATGCTAGTTTCAAATTAACTGTTCTGCTACTTTCCGGTGAATTTGTTGGTGACTTAATAGAAATGTTTTTATGTCCATTTCAGCAGTGCATGCAGTGCTACCTTTTTTCTTCACATCTTTCTTTTTCTATAAAAGGTACACATGTGTCTTGTTTTTCTTATGTTGATTTTTCTCTCCATATACATAGTAATCTGTTTTTACTAAAAAAAAAAAAAAATAAATTAAATTAAAAAAAAAGTATTACTGTACAAGCTTGGCACTGTAATCTTAAAATGAGAATTTAAAAAAGACACATGGTGCTTTTAATTGAGCCATGTTCGACTGTATGTTTGCAGAAAACTGAGTGTGAGATTTTGCTGAACGCAATGAAGACTTCGATATGCAGTGCATTGGTATGCTAAAACACTGAAGTTCCCATTGGAGGGATCAGAATCTGCAGTCATACAGGAAAAATTGTCTGGAACATCTGTGGGTTACTGTATGCATTTTAGCAAAATCATTGGCTGTGACATAAATACTTTTTGGCAACATAATGCATTATCTTATTGTTTCGTGGCTTTATGGTGAGAATGCAGAAAGTACCACTTTTTTTTAGGAATTTGTCACTCGGGATGTTCGAGTTTGACATCTCATAAGTGTGATGCAAATTTGAATGTAGTTACAACATATTTAGACATGGTTTTATATCATTGTGGTGAAACTAATGTACAGATTATAGGTAAAGTAATGTACAGGATTCTTAATCAAAGCAAGCATTTTGCATTATTGGAATTAAAAAAGAAAAATCTTTTAAAAACTTGTAAGCTTTTCATTAAAAAAACTGGTACTTGCGTATTATCGCAACCAGGTTGGCGCTATTTGTAAGTTTGAGTAAAAAAGTATGAATAGAAAGAAAATGTACATTTATTAATTACAGATAATTTTTAATACAGTTTTTTATATTATTTTGTTTTAAAATATAAAATATAAATTAAACCCTTCCGGTTTCGATTTTGAATAAGTTGCAGAATTATTTTTTCGGCGGAAATCTTTTGACTATTGCTTTTAGCACTGATTGAAAATCGTATTCGCCATAACCATGTACACGTCGACTTATTTTTACTTAAAAAAACATCCCAGAATTGCACAAAAATGACATTGCGCACACTCTTGACTTTATCCATGTACACTGCTATTTTCTCATAAATTACAAAAATTTGCACGAAAATGCAGGAAAATTTTGTGAATTTCCGCATGCTCTTTTTACAAAACTACGTATAACACGTAGGGTTGTCGTAAGTAGGGTTGCCAAATTTCGCAATTTATGCGAATTTTGGCCTGGTTGCGTTAATACGTAAGTACCAAAAAACTAATAATGAGAAACAGAAATTGATAAAATTTGCTGGACTGTAGTTTCAATGGCGAAATATAATCTTTCTTTTCATCTGCGGGAGTGAAAATGATAACTGTAAAACATGTGCCTATATGAGAACTACAGATAAAAATTTTTCTTAGCTGCAACATAGAAAACGAAATCATTGTCGCTGTGTGTGAACTGAAATTTGAATAAAAAGAGCAACAAGGAAATAATTTGAAAAGCTGAGAGTAAAGGGGAATTATCATTAGCATCATCAACAAGAACTGAGAGATTTCTTTAGACGTGGAATACATTCAGGAAGATTTTTTTGGAGGATTTCGGCTGCAACAAAGTTTGAAAATAATTCATTGTGCTAAAATTGAATGATGAAACTTGGCAGTCCTATTTTTGTTAAGATCTTGACGTTTGTGTAACTTTTCTGAATATGTCGGATAATGTATGAGTAGTACAGCTGTAGCCAAACAATAATTTTAAAATTACATACTGCAAACATATTTATGTATTTTGCACCTACCTATCTTTAAAATTATTTAAGGAAGGAGTATTTTTACTTCTGATGTTCTGCGTATTTATTTTTGTAATTCTTTCAAAGTTTAGCAAAAATAAAAATTTGCCTGATTATTTAGAGATTTATTATAAAAGTTGTTAACAAGTGTCTCAGCTATTTAGCTGTGTAATTAATTAAATTGAAATAACATGTACTACATAAAAAATTTTCATATTCTATTAATATATTAAAAAAAATCCTAATGTCAGTATAACTGAATAGATATCTAAAGCATAGTGTAATATAGCCTAAAGGGAAACTGGGGCAGCATTTCTGGATTAAACATTATTTTACTGTTTATAGAAACATTTATATTTTATTTTACAATAGAAATCTAACATATTTCTCTGTCGTAGGTAAAAGAGAAAACCTCATCATTCTCCCCCCCCCCCAAATTCTAGGCATTATCTCTTGCATAATACAGAGTTCTCCAAATAATTGGATTTTTCATACATGTGCAGTGGATGTGAAAACTTGTAGTGAGGTGTCTTAGCGAAAAATCATAACCTTCTACAGTTGGCTGTGAGCAGTAGGAGTATGTAAATCTCTGTGTAAGCAACATGTCATTAGAAAAAAATGCAATGTTTTGATTGAGCAGTGGTATGCCATCCAATATCGTGTGTGACTTGGAACATTTGAGAAAGACTTCCAGCATGTTGCAAACAGCCTTTGGAATGACTGCCTATAAAACAGATTAGATTTTTTTTGGCATAATGCCTTCAAAGAGAGGGCATGCAGGGCTAAAAGTGGAAAGCTTGACAGTCCATGAACAAAACAGATGAAAATATAGACCGTGTACACAGTCATTTGAACACTAATTAATGTATGAATATGCAATCACAGACAAGCTAAATTTGCTGAAATGCAAGTCCATGATAGACAAATTAACTGAGCCTGTAGAATGTGTATACGAAGTTCAGTACTAATCTTGACAAACACGTGTGAAAGTGTGTCACAAATTGTTGAAGTATATGTTAAGAAAGCCAAAATTAATTCAGTGTTGAAGTTTCTCCCTCCTTCCAGCATGCCTTCGTGGTGTAACGGTTAGGACACTCGGTGCGTGTTACAGAATTCCACGTTCTAGTCCCAGCAAGAACACTGCTAATTTTTTACATCACTTGCTTCAAAATACCTAATATCTTTACAGTGCCACCCAAATTAAAACGTGGTGGATGATGATTCTTCACCATCAGAATTTGGCAGTTGGGTCCCCTAATACCCAGTCCCCCTTTAAAAGGGGGGTATATAAGGTATTTTCTTCCTCCTTCCAACATGTCTTCATGGCGTAATAGTTAGCACACTCGGTGCGTATTCGAGAGGTCCAGGTTCGAGTCCCGGCAAGGGCTTTGCTCATTTTTCTTGTCTCTTGCTTCAAAATAACCTAATGACTCTACAACAGGAGATGAATTCCTGAGCTTTGAATATAATCTAGAGAAAAAAATGCCAAATTTCTGGATGACACACACCACATTCAATCCTTGGACAAGACTTGGATGAGTTGTCCCTCCCAAATTGACTTAAACTAGCTCATTTTGTTACACAGTTCAAGGGAGGTATCTGCAAAGAGATTGCTCTTCTTGAATGATGCTTAATGCACCTTTTTACGTTTCAATTGTAGTAAGTTTTGAAAATACAGTACGAATTCTGTAATCTGGACCTCAAAGCCACAAACTTTACGCATGCGCGTAGAGAATGCGTATACATTGCGCATATGCGTAAAGAATGCACATACATTATGCATGCACGCGTTGAAAGAAATGTTTAATGAAGTAAACAAATAAATATTAAGCTTTTTTTTTTTTTTTTTTTTTTTTTTTTAAATTTTGATACCCTTTAGATTATAATTGCTCTTTATTTCATAAATTATGGTTTCATAATTTTAATTGTATAATTTCTGCATGCCATCTTACCAGATTTAAATTGATGATCTATAATCCAGAAAAACCCCTAATCTGGAATTGCCGAAGACCCGACGAGTCTGGATTATGTTCTTTGTACTTTAATTGTATGTACAACTTCTGAGTTTCTGATGGCTGGATTCTTCACAGTGATGGTGCATCGTGATGTGCTGCATTGTGGAGGGGTAGTTTCTAACCCAGAACAAAGTACTAACGCCACTGCAGCACCTTAACCTGCAGTACACTGCAGTACCTTTGAACTGTCTCTCTGCGACTTCTTTTGCAATTACAGAAGCTCTTCAAGAGGCGTAGATTACCTCTTGGTTGTTCAAGAGGCCAGATATGCTCTTGGTTTTTCAAGAGGCCATTACGAGAGTCATCCTTCAATAGGTGCTAATAAAACCAATAATGGAGGCGTATTTGGAAGTCATCTACAAAGAGATTGTTCTTCTTAAGTGGCAGTTAATGCAGCTTTTTTATCTTAATGGTAGTAAGTTTTGAAAATAATTGTATGTACAGCTGATTTTCTGATGGCTGGATTCTCCACCAAGATGATGCATCACGATACACTGCATTGTCGATGAGGTAGTTTCTGACCAAGAACAAAGTACTAGTGCCACCGCAGCCACTTTACAGCCTTGAACTGTCTCTCTGCGACTTCTTTTTCAACCATAGAAGCTTTTCAAGAGGCAAAAATTGCCTCTTTGTTATTCAAGAAGCCAAATATGATCTTGGTTGTTCAAGAGGCCAAATATGCTCTTGATTGTTCAAGAGGCCATTATGAGAATCATCCTGCAATATGCATTAATAAAACCAATAATAGAAGCATATTTGGAAGTTATTTGTGGCTGCACAAAAGGCCATTTTGAGAACTTATTAAGCTTATATCTTCATACTATCAATAACGGACAATCTCTATACCCACTTTTTCTCCCACCTTGCCAAAAGGTTTGAGAAAAGGATATTTTTCCTGTCTGTGGTAAACATGAATTTTTCAGTGATGGGCAGCAAATTTATGACTATCCATTAAAAACAAAGCATTGTCTGCTGTGGTCCTGTTTTCTTATCAGCCAAGTTCTTAGGAGAGGTGTATGCTTATTGTTAAGTAATTTCTTGTGTGAAAAATGAAAGTATCAAAGCAAAGTGTAAATTTGTAGGATCTGTGTATTTATCTGCATTCATAAAAAAATATATAAGTTAAAAAAGTGTGGGAAAGGATATTAAAATATTTTGTTTTGAATAGCTAGTATGCTTGCTTTTTAAAGTAAAATTAATTTTTAAAAATATTTTAATTTTCAGGTCCACTTTATATATTTATCTACAGCATCATAAAAATGATAAATGTTCATGGTCTGAGGAGGAATGTGAAGAATGTTGTAAAAAATTACTCAGATGCCCAGGTAAAAGTTCGTGAGGCAACATCAAATGATCCATGGGGACCATCTGGAACTCTTATGAGTGAGATTGCAGATTTGACATACAATGTTGTAGCCTTCTCTGAAATTATGCAAGTGATTTGGAAGCGTCTGAATGACCATGGAAAGAACTGGAAACACGTATATAAAGCCCTTGTCTTATTGGAGTACCTTATAAAAACGGGATCAGAAAAAGTAAGTAATTAGAACTTTCATGGTATCTTGAATTTTTCCAATATTAATTTTAGATTTCTACATAGTTAGATATTTTGTGGCACACTGGTTTTAACTTATTTATTGTTGATTGTATATTTTTGCAACAAAGTGGTGTAAATTTAATAATGTTCAGTTTCTAACACATGACTCTGCATGGATGTAAAATTTTTTATACAAGGTGTGACAACAAAAAAAAAAAAAAAAAAAAAAAAAAAAAAAGACTAAAGTGTGTAGCTTGAAAACAGAGTGGAGTTGGCAACAACTGTTTTGGTGAAGTCATGCCACAAACCTCCTCTATCCATGCGGCCAATTTTGACTTGACCAATCCCGCCAGTGATGAGTGGTTGGCTTAACCAACCACATCATTGAATGAACTGCATTCTGCCTGGAAAATGTCTAGCGTAAAAACCGAACAGCGAATCAACATCAAATTTCTTGTGTAACTTGAGAAATCAGCCACGGAGGAAGCATTTAAAATGTTAACTGAGGCTTATGGAGATGAAGCTTTGTCTCATGCATGTGTGTTTGAATGGCATAAGCTGTTTTCAGGGAAGGGACAGTGCTGAAGATGGGCACCCAAAACGTTCATCATGATTGAATGGGTTTCCAGTGGTCAGACTGTTAATCAACATTACTACATTAAAGTACTAAGACTTTGTAAAAAAATTAGGAAAAAAAAAAGGTAACAGTTGGGGAGTGATGAATGGCTGTTGCACCAGGACAATGCACCCGTTCACACAGCCCTATCTGTCAAGCAGTTTCTGAGAGCAAAACATTACTTTGATGGGGTATCCTCCTTATTCACCTGATTTGGCTCCATGCGACTTTTTTTTTATTTCCTGAAGTTAAATCTTGAAGGGAACACATTTTGCCTCAGCTTAAAGAGGTTCAGGCAAAAACGGAGAATCTCCTGAAGGGCCTTCTAAAAACCTCGTTCCAGAAGTGTTACCAGCAATGGCAGCACCGAATGCAGAAGAGTGTGAACTTGCTGAAGGGAACTACTTTGAATGTGATAATGTCACGGAGAACTGTTTCTGTAAGTAGAATGATTTATTGGACCAGCCTATTTTTTTTTATCGCACCTTGTATCTGTGCAGAGCCATGAATTACTTGATGATTGGAGTTACTTGATGGGAAATTCATAAATATATGGGTTCAGTGTAGACAACATGTATTTTAAAGAATATATATTGCAGTTTCATCAACAAGAGGATTAATGCAATCACAAGTTTTTAGATTTGAAGAAAGTTCTGTTAGAAAATATATTATTCAGATAATAAAGTTTCATTCTGTCATACTGATATAAAGTTGTTTCAGTTTAGAAATCATTTTTCTAATGCAGCAATAATATGAATTGTTTCTGAAAAGTTTTTAATTTCTAGGTGGCATGGTTCAGCAAAAACTTTTGGAATCAAATAATTAATACATCCATAATTTTTTAAAATTTACTTTTGATGAATAGGATGCAGGCAGATTATAAAACATAATATTACATCAATAGGCAAACAGAGTGTTTTTACTTCATTCCAGGATAACTTATCCTAATAGCTCTTTCTCCTTGTACATACCCCAAGCTAGGTTGTTAAAACTCTTATTAACTGTCTGAGTGGCTAGCCGGTCATGAGATTTTTTGTTACTTGATACATATTAGCTTTAGATATTTTGCTTTCTTACTTTTGCTAATAATGTAAATGTAATCTTAATGAATGTAAGTTTATGAAAAAAGAGGCCAAAATAAGTAATTATATACATTTAGCTAATAAATGCTGCATAAAAACAGGTTTTTTATGACAGATCCAAAAACCTGTGCCGCTTAGGGGGTTAATTCTTTTTTCTAAATGTAATCCAAACCTGCTTGTTCCAACTCTTAATATGCTAACAAAATGATATTTTGTGTTACCTTCTTCCAATTTTGTTTTCAGTCTTTGTTGTTCTGTGTTAAGTTTTTTTTTTTTTTTTTTTTGTATCTTCATGTAAAAGAGAAAATATATTTAAAATTTATTTATTAGTATGTTCCAAATTAATATTAAAGCAGTAAAAACCATTTTTGTTAATTTTATTGAATCGCTTTATGCTTGTAATCAATGTTTCTCAAACTCTGGTCTGTGAACAAGTGGTCCTAAACACAAAAAATTAAATTCACATTAACTGTGTGTACCACAGTATAGCTGAAAAGCCAGAATTTGAAAATTACATATTGTAGTCATCATCTATCACCTTTTCTCTTAAGACTCGTGTTTTATAAAATTTATTACTGATTACCATGTGGACTTCCCACTTTAATCTTAACAACAAAAGAGAGATTTAAAGCATTGTGATTGTAGTGCTGCTCACTTTCGTTCACTGCACATCTGGTGCTTCTAGCCTTGTTACCAGTGAAAGCAGAATGTAAGTGCTTAAAAACTCATAACTTGGTTTGCTTCTATGTATATGGGTGAGAAATTGGTTTCATCACACACTCAAATAAAAGCAAAGTACTGAAATCAACTTGATGTATGTGCCAATCTCAGACTTAAGCTTACTGGCATACATCCAATCAGCTGTGCAAGAATTGAAATGCTCACCCATCAAATTAATATGAATACTAACATTTATTTAATTTTTAGTTAATAAGATAAACATTATCTGAACTGTAATAGCTTTGAATTAAAAAGAAATATCAGTTTTCTTGTATTATCTTAATTACTTAATTTGATGTAAAATTAAATGAATTTTAATTAATTATGTTTTAAAAACATAAGTATACTGGCAGTAACATATGCAAAAGTGTAAAATGATCTGCAGAACGTTTTTATTTATAAAAATGGCCATCACTTGAAAAAAGTGTGAGAAACTTTGCATTAAATGTAACCAGTTCTTTTAAGGACTGTAAATGAAATAAATGGAAGCAAGTTTGTCCCCTTTGCTTTATATGTATGTCTGCCGTGTGCTTAGATTTCTAATTGGAATTGTTAGCAGTACATTTTTAATGATGATATTTATGTCAGATGTATAACTGTTGCTGCAACATCATGAATATCACAGGTAGAGCCAGGATTTTTCATGGCAGTCAACAAAGTACTGCGCAGCTGTAGTGTTTTTATTACTGCAGTGTGTCTTGTACTCAGAAGACCTTTAGTAATGCAGTTTCAGATGCTTCAGATTTTTAAAACTTTATTATAACTGTTGCTGCTTTTTAATGGTATTGTCATTATGTTCGTTAAAACAAAGCTTTTTTTCATGCATTTTATTAGGTAACTCAGCAATGCAAAGAAAACTTGTATGCCATTGAAACTCTGAAAGATTTTCAGTATTTTGAAGAGGGCAAAGACCAAGGAGTTAATGTTCGAGAAAAGGCCAAGCAGCTAAAAGCTTTGCTTAAGGATGACGAGAGACTTAAAAGTGAAAGGATGAGAGCCTTAAAGACTCGTGAGCGATTTGCCCGTGCTGCCACATCTTATGTAAAACAAGAACCTGTAACCAGAGTATGCTCTTTAAATGATATTTTTTTAGCTCACATTAGCAATTTTGGGAACTTTTTCTAACATGTGTCATGAATTTTTAGAAACTCGAATTTTATATAATTTTATACAACTCGAATTTGATAACTTTTCTAAGTGTTAAAATATGCAGTACATTCTGATTATCTCCAGCCCCATTGAAAACACTTTCATTAGACCTAAACCAGCCAGACCTTGTGTCCATATTATGTTGTGATTCTATATAAATTTGGGCTCATCATACGGGCTCGTCCCAGCAACATATCTCTCAAGTGTCTGCCTTATCAACTGTCAATGGTACATTACTTGCCTACCATGGTCGTAGCAGGTAACGGGAAATGAGATTCAGTTCTGGAGAGGGAGCCTGAGAAACAGCTATCACATCCAAGGAAGGCACCCAAATTACCCATTCTCAGAATGGGAAAGTAGTGACGAAAAATAACAATACAGGACTCCCTAATTTTTTTAGTGCACTCTAAATCCTTTAACCAGGATCAGTTGGAGGGCAAGTTTGGTGGTAACAGTCATGGAAATTGCAGCTCAGCTGTTAAAGTCATTGTAGTTAAAAAAAACTTGTAGTTAGATTTCAGTTTCAAGCTTGTAGTACGCTGATTGGTGGTTAATCCACCAGTAATGGCACACACCTTGGAAATGCGCTGGAATTTCCAACTGATGGTTCCTTCTTTTATTTCACATGCACAGAATCTTATCTTGTGTTTTCAGTAGCGGTTCAAAACTCTTTACATCCTCCAAGGCATCAGCGCCGGGAGGTGATCATTCATGGGTATTGAGAGGCTGTACTGCATGGGATACAGATACAAAAAGATCCTTGTTTCTGTTTTTATTACATGTCTAGAGAGTGCAGTGTCAGGAAAAAGTATTCATGAAGTAATGCAGTAAGTTGCCAAAATAATTACGTGGCAACATACGATGTTGATTTGATTTTGTTAATTGATTGTGCTTTTTTAGAATTCTTAATGTACTACCATTTTGAAGATGGTTCTTGAAAAGTTTGACGAAAAATGAATTGCAAGTTCTTGAATGTCCTTCAAATTGCCAATGAGTTTGGGACTTTTTGTTAGATGTGCAGATTATTAGATAGTAACAAATATGCCTTAATGTAAGATTAGATAGAAACAGGAAAATAATTGTCTTTTATATAGAATTGTTTGATCTTTTATCTGACGTAGGTTCTTCTTCAGGAGCAATTAGTTCTTTTAAAAGTTGGTAGACTTTTTTATTAACCACATTGCCCCCCTCCCCCGCTTTCAATTCCTTTTTTTTTTTACTCCTCCCAATTTTATGTTTTCCGTAGCTTTCATACACACATTAGTCTAGTAAGCATTTTATGTTTTCAAGAGAATTTCTTTCTCCCTGTATAGCATACTAAAATTTATCTTCTTATTTCCTTAATTTTGCAGCACAATGTGCAAAATTTTGACCACATAGATCTTTTTTCATTTGTTCTTACAACTTAACTTTATATATATATATATAATTTAAAGTTAAGTTATATTACATATATATATATATATATTACTTACTGCATTCAGAAAAATCAAAATTGCTTTCCTCAAGATAAGTTTAACTGCTGAGTTGTATACCAGTGGAATAAATTACTGAGATATGTGATGTATCATCCATTACATTTGGACATATATTTGCTCCTTTCATGTTAGCTGTTCTTAAAATGATAAATCATCAATATGTGCTTGCACTGATAGTGATGACAAAGTAAAAGTCATCAGCTTAATGACTTTATCAATACAGAAATTAAATTGTTAAGAAATATTATTCTATTTATATAATAATTTTGTTAGTTTAAAGAATTATGTTACAGAATTATGAATTTATTTAAATATTTCACATGAAGTCTTTATCTTATATTGATTTAATAAATTTTTATCTTATATCAATTTAATTTGATAAATCTTTATATTAATTTAATGAAAGTAAATAATTTATAGCAATTTGTCTTTGCTTCTAAACATTAGAAAAATTTTGTACGTACATAACACACAAGTAACGTATATCCAAATGGGATTGTAATTTTCATTAATGGAAAACTGAAGGTATGTAACAGTTCATTGATGTTATATAGCTGTAGTAAAGTTGGCCTGGCTATGTTTCCTCTTACCCCCTCCTATTATAATACAACTATGATCCTTTCCCCCTCTGAAAATGCTCCACAAAGGCATAAAAGGTCATAAAGATGTTAAGAAGGCTCATAAAATAATCTAGTTAAACAAAAGTCTAATAAGAAAGAGTATCTGATTGAGCTATAACAAAGAAACCTGATACAGTTAGATAATTCATCATTCTATTGGAAATAATTGGTTTTCTTATGGTAAAAATGCGTTAAAAATATTTATATGTTATAGTTTCAATGAAACTTGCAATAATTGTGTTGTTATTATTATTTATGAGAACTGAATATATATATATATGTAGCTAATGGTAATGTAGTGACACCATACGGTTTCCTTAGGTATGCTTTGGATAACATCTGTTATTAAATATTTTCTGATGTAGACTGTGTAGTCAAACATCACCGGGCGCCACTGTTGACATTTCCTAGTTCTACAATATTATTAATAGAAGGCCTGGCCTGCTTACATTATTGTTATATATGTTATGTTTTGGAGAGGCTGTTATTACATCATGATAAATTGCTTAAGGAATTTACTCTTTTAGTAGTCTGTTGTGAGAATTTATTTAGTTATTTATTTATTATCCAGAAATTTAAAGAGGATGAAGTATATTTGGCACTCAGCACTTGCTGTTTCAAAAGATTTTTAGTGAGGCTTAGGTTGACTGCTCAAATGTGTTCTTTTATCAGCATGTCTTTAAGCTATGAAACTGTAGATCTTGTTTTCAGAATAGTTGCATTGTCATTTTGCAATCAGAAAGAACCTAGTGTAAATTGTCGCCATAGTTGAGGGGGTGTAGTGTATTATTTTGCTTAAGGTTTTAATAGATATCTGTCTTGAAAGGTTAAAATTAGAGGCTAAATTCAAACTATGAAAAATTTCGAATTTTACCATTAATGCAGTGCATTTCTGTAAAGGCCATTTGTCAAGTTTGTACCATGTTCAGATATTTCAGTTTGATTTCAAAATCATGTTACCATGAGACATAGCTTCATACATCCTTTTTCCTTTGATCCACAATCTAGTGAAAAATCTTAAATGGTACTGGGCAATGGCACTGTGATTAAGGGCTTCTGAGAAACTGCAGAGACATGAAAATGAAGGGCAGTCAGCTCTGTGTCAATGATTTTATCACTGATTTCCATTTTTGAACATTTGAAGAAACTACTGGGAAATATATTTGTCAATTTCATCTGGCAGCACACCTTAGACTTGACCATTCCCAACCCATTTAGTCAGTGATAGGATTTCATTGCATTTCCTGCTAATGTTGTTTGCAATACACTGAGACATATTCAGCTGTTTTGAAATCTCTCTGTCTTAATTAAAATTGTTGGTTGTAGTACATGTCACTGTAACTGTTAACTATTTATTATGAAAGCAAAGCATTTCTGTAATGGTAATTTTGCCATTCATTGTCATGATATATATAATTTAGTTATAGATATTCATATTATATGATTGATTCTACAACAGCCAAAAAGTGTTCAGTGAATTTTGACTAAAAATATCCATCTTTTTTCTTGCTGCTTAGGTGATTATAATTTTCTTCAGAGGGAAAAGGGAGATAAAATTTAGAATTTACTTCACTCTTCTGAAAGAATTATGATAATTTCAAAGACAGACAATTTTCTTTACAAAGTGATGGCCTGGTATTTTAAACTATAACTTACTTTATCTGGCATTTTAGGAAGTTAGTTATTTATAAAGTTCTACAAAAAAAGTAGCCTGCCACTGGCAATAATATAACAAAATGGAAACTATCTTTTTGATGCAATGTGTACAGAAGAGGAGGTCATATCAAATCATTGGACAGACAATAAAAGTCTGTGGCCTCTTACAAAGAGTATGGTGCTGGCATTAAAGGCAAGCTACTTTTTTTTTTTTGTGAATAATGCATGATGATAAAATATGATTAATATAAAACTAAAAATATTTAATATTTTATATTTCTTCTTACAAATACATTTAACTTAAAACATTTACTATAGCATTATAACCAATGATAAATATTTTAAAATTATTGTTGAGTTCATGTCATTGTGTCTAATTACAAACTTAAAAATTCATTTTAGTGTTAATTCATCTAGAAGGTTATCAAATGCCTTTCTTTTAAAGCAACTTTTGAAGACTGATATTTTTTTCTTATAGCATTATGGTTCCTCAGATTTTAGTCAAGGCTCATTTGATGAAGATATGTTATCTCCTGGAGGTAAGTTTTAATTATTTTTTACAATTTCACAAATTGTGAAAGAAAATGATTTGTTAAATAGAATTATTTAAAAAATTCTCTAAAATCCCTTCTCAAGGAAAAAAAAAATTGAAATGTAGGATGTCAGGTAGAGCACTCAAAAGTAACCTTCACAAGCTGAATTCATATTAGTGATATGAAACTATAGAATTGTGTACTGTTGAAGTCAGAATCACTTGCACAATTATTATATGCTAAGTTTTTTTTTATTTCATTTGTATCAATTAGTACAATGCTGATAACTATATTTTTTAATCTAATTTTATTGTTTATGGTAGTAGTTAAGCAAAATTCATATGGTTCTCATTCTGGTATTACATTTTATTGCTTTTAAGCCTTGAGTATCCTATCTTTTAAAGCATCTAAATTACATAGCTTGCAAAGAGCCAAGCTACACAACAAAAATAAGCTAAGGGCTGCATACAAAATGTAACATTTGACAATGATTATCATATGACATATATTGCTGTTGCATGCGATAAAATTACATTTGCTTTTAATCCAAAAGATATTTATTAGAGAATAAATATAAACATAATATTTTTACTTATGAATACTTAACTGACTACATAACCTGTTTTATTATGAACCATTATATCTGAACTTAGTATGATAGAAATGATATATGAAGAGTGTAACAAATATTTATCTGAAATTTTTGTCCTTTCTTCATATGATCAGGGTGAAAAAAAACTCATAATGTGCTTTAAAGTAGATATTTTGTGGTCAGGGATTCATGTTGTAACTTAAAACACCATAAATCTTTCTTGTATGAGTGCAACTTAAAAAAGGTTTGATTAAATAAATTTTCTTAATTCTGATTGCAACAACAGTCAGATCTTTGTTAACAGATAGTGGTAAAAGTATATTTTAGGGTACCCCTTGCCGATTTTTGGCGGTACATCGATACCGTGCTTGCATAACGCCGATTTTTGCGCCAAAAATCGCCGCTACACAAAGCCAAAATAACAACACAATTGCATAAACTCGGTATCCATGTGCACACCGACCTATTTTCACTTTTAAAAAAAATCCCCGAATTGCACAAAAATGCATTTGCGCACTGCCTTGACTTTATCCCACGTCGACCTATTTTCACTTTAAAAAAATCCAAGAATTGCACAAACTTGCATTGCGCAGTCTGTTCACTTTGTCCATGTAAACATTGATATATTTTCACTTAAAAAGTCAAAGGAGCACCCATTCTGCAATACAAGAAACAAAGTATATAATCTCAAATAAACTGCATATTTAAATCAAACAGTGAAATAACATTCAAAAAGGAAAACATGTTATCATTTAAGCACTACAAAAAGCAAATATCCACTTACCCTATTTAGAAGTTCCTTCGTCTTAAGTCTGTGGCACACAAAATTCCTTAACAGCATCCAAAAACTTCCTAAAATGACCTGAACTCAAATCCATATATCAGCGTCACAACATCTGAACCTTTCTTCCTACAAAACCATTCAAATCCATCTAAACGGTTTTTACGTTCAACTAGATGCATGTCCTTCCTACATACAGGACACTTATAATGGCTAATAAGTAAACCTTAATTTACACACCAGTCAATTAACGCTCCTTTCCCCTTTCGTTCCAAATCATACAGAAACTTCAAATTAATCTTATGAGATGTGAAAAATGCGAGTTCAGTTTCTTCAGTAAGCCAACGAAAGATAGAGAACTCACTTTTGAGTGGATGGAGAGTTTTATTGTAAATACCATTTGCAAGTTTACAGCTAAAGGCCTCATTCAATTGAAACAGCGGTGATCGCTCAAACAGCGATTGTTGTATCCAGCATTAGCGATCACTTTGGAAAACGAGTGATTTTTCGTATTCATTTGAAACACTTCCCTAGCAGTTGAACTCGTAGGGGTTGCCAGAGGTTACTTGATGCGCGATGCTGTTTGTCACATGGTCGGAAGTTGCGTTTGTTTCGAAATAACCAATGAAAGAGCTACCAGATGTGCAGGTTGACTCCTCGTAACCATTCTTTAGGGTTGCAGTTCACGTTTGGTGTGCCATCTTTGGCTTTTCAGCGCTATTGTTTCAAAGTTTTATCTATGAAAATTCTTCAAAGGTATTATTTTATTTTAATTCCTTTATGAAAACAGCTAACCTAAAAGACACATTCCATTCACATAAATCATATACATGTGAAAAATATGGGTCAAGTAATTTTTGCATACTGAAAAAAAAAAGTGATTCAAAAGAACTTTTAAAGCAAAACAAAAGAAGAATGTACCTAGTTCTATTAACAACTCAAAAAATACAATGTAATATATTCTAAAAGGAAAATTATATAATACACAATGATGTAGATTACATATATTTAATAAATACATAAAACTCTATAATGACTCTAATATTCATAACTATATAATAAATGCCAACACATATCACATCATGGTACATAACACTGCTATGAAAGGAAGAATTTTTAATTAGAAACATACCTTTTATATTTATTTGATAACATAGATGAATAAAATATGAAGATGACAAGAAGTTATGAAAACACGTTATGCAACTTAAGAAACAGTAAGAAGCGTTTTAAGTTATTGCAATATCATAAGGCACTGATTAGGAAGTAAATATCATTTTTTCATTCTTTTACATCAGTAATACTTTTTTCATTAAAAACTTAGCAGTGAAAGCCAAAACAGATTTATCATTAGCGCCTCTGATGCAAGGTCACACAAAAATAAACTTGATTTAGCAAATTTCTAAAACATTAAAATCAAACCTAGTAAATTACAGTAACATATATTATTAAATTATTTTAATTACACATAAAAAATTGTCTGAATTAAATTAAGAATCACTGACTAAGCTTGTACAGCATTTTAAAGCATATTTTATGTTGATACATTGGAAATAAATTGACAGCAATCGCAGTTAAATGAAAGAGCTGGAAATACAGTCTACATGATGTATAAATACAGTCAAAATTATTCGTTAAATACCTAAATTGATGCTTACCTTCTTCAAAATGAATATAAATACGATATATTAATGTTACTTTAAGGGAAACATTAATATAATGCATAATTTCAATCATATTATCCAATGTTTACTTTTTTTTTTTTTTTTTTACATTGGAGGCCGACTGACAGATTTGGCGACAATCTAATATAATAAGGTCAAAAAAATAACATACGATTTTAAACCATGAATCCCGCATTAAAATTTAAATAAAAATTGCACTTCATAGTTATAATCACGCACAAAATTGAAATCAAATGTAAAATATAATTATTTAAACTTTGTACCCTTTTCGCGATAATAACAATAAAAAACAAATCACATCAGCATCTACTTATCGCCGTCGGTATCTGTGTATTGACTATACACATTCTGATATTCATTTTGTACATATAAATCAGTTTGTCATTAATTAGCAATACTTAAATGATAATAATACACATTTCGCTGAAACATGAACACTTATTTTTTTAACAATTATGAAAACATACGAAGCTGAACTTACTTCAAAAGCGCACGGTCTTGTGCTTGGAATCCTATTCCAATGGACAAGAATTAATTACCCATTTTCTTTGTATTTCTTCATTTCCTCGGGAAATAGAACATACTAAAGTTATTTCTGGAACGATATGAATAATTTGATGCAGTGCATCCACGCATATTTCTCTGAATTAGGTAGCAATCCATCAACACAAATGTAAACAACACAACGCTAAATCAATGTTCCACTAGCAACAAGTGCCACTTAATTTGGATACAACACAGATGATGTGTCGGCTCCTCTTGCTAGGATCCTTATACACCCTATACTTTGATATAAGTTGATGCTCACTCAGCAGATCTAAAGCATTTTCTTTAGCACACTTGATTTCTGTCCTCTTGAAAATTCTTCAAAGGTATTATTTTATTTTAATTCCTTTATGAAAACAGCTAACCTAAAAGACACATTCCATTCACATAAATCATATACATGTGAAAAATATGGGTCAAGTAATTTTTGCATACTGAATACTTCTTCTTGAAAGCACAAACAACACAGTCACCATATTGATTCGATCGTTTTTCGCCGAGGAATGATGGGTTCCAAGTGATCGCTATGAGAACAAGCGATCGCAAGCTCAGAGTGATCGTTGTGTTTCAATTGAATACCAAAACAGCAAAATCAATCGCAACTGATGACGTATGACGACTAACGATCACTAAATGTTTCAATTGAATGAGGCCTTAAGTCTGAGACTAGAGAAATAAATACACTGAAATGCAATTGACATTGTCCGAAATTAGAATCTTCTCACAAAAATTTATCATAAAATGGCAATTAGTGCTGCATATTTCCTTGTGTTAACATTGCTTTGTCTGCTGTGTTTTCATAATTTTGATTTCTGAAGCACATTAAATTAACCTTAATTAAATATGTTTAGTGTAGAATGTCGAATGCATAGTTTGTTGTCATTTTTTGAAAATGTAATTATTAGTTGCTTTTGATTTCAGATGTTCATTTTTTTTTCTTTAAATGAGCTTAATATCTACTAAACATCTCAAAACCAATTCTTCTTTACAATCACCATTTGTAAATGCTCACCTTTCCATTTGTTTTTCAAGTTATATGTAACATGAGCAATTTCAGCCATTCTCAGGGTCACTTTGAACTAATTAACCCTTTGAGTATGCATTTATTTGAAATTTTTTTTTGCATTTAGAGCATATTTTACCCTTTGGCTACATTTGATGTATTAGTACATCATGCATTTGTTTGAGCAAAGATGCACATGACGTTCTGATATGTCATTGAAACTCGGACAAGATTTAGCTAGTTTATTCTGGTTTATTTCAAAGTAATGTATATCTATTGCAACAGACCAAATAATTTTAATAGTTTGGTGAACCTTGTTTGGGATACATAACTCCATATTGACAGAAATAGAGAATATATTTTATCAAAGTGATAATAACAGTTTTAATGAAAGTATTTATTCCAAGTACTGCAGAAAACTATTTTACATCAGTTACATTTTCGTTTTCTTCCCAAATCCGTTCACCTAATTTTTCACGAGAAGATTCACTATCACTGCTTGATGAGCGTCTTGTACATCTTCGAATAATTTCACTATCATTATCACTTACTAGTTCGATATATTCTTCATCATTTTCATTTTGAAATTCCTCTTTATTGCTTAAAGGATCATTATAAAATTCTTGATCAGATTCAAGATCACTACTTTCATTAAAACTGTTATTATCACTTTGATAAAATATATTTTCTATTTTTGTCATTATGGGGTTGTGTATCACAAACAAGGTTCACCAAAGCACTGAAATTATTTGTTCTGTTGCAACAAATACACATTACTTTGAAATAAACTAAAATGAACTAGCTAAATCTCAACTCAGTTTTAATGATGTATCAGAATGTCGTGTGCATCTTTGCCCAAACAAGTGCATGACGTACTGATCTGTCAAATATAGACAAAGTGTTAAGCTGATTCTCTGTAGATGTTTCCAGTCATTTTCTGGACTTTTGTTTATCCAGATTATATTGTTTTTGTAGAATATCAGTCATATTGTGTAATTCACTTCGCAACCATTTTTTCTGCATGGTGAAAAAATATTTTAATTTTTAACTGATAACCATTTAAATGGTATTTACTAGGTACATTTTTGTGCTTGTTTCTTTTCTTGCAGATATGTATACCATTTAATGGTTTTTGTTGCCTCTGATGCTAAACTTTCATAATATATATCATTTTATGAAGCAAGTGCAAGACAGTATAAAAGTATGCTGAATTAATGATTTCATAAATTGCTTTTATCTAGACCAGCGGTGCCCAACCCAAATCGGTTGGTGGGCCAAGTAAAAATTTACTGAACTGAGGTGGGCTGCACACATCAAAATAAAACAACAAATTATTCAAAATATTTTATTACCTTACAATTGTTGTGACACTTGTATTTTACTGGATATTTTTTAATATCAACAGATAATTTAGTCAACATGCATGGTATTTGATTGGTCATGCTTTCATCAAGCAACCTGCTGTGATACTTTGTTTTTACCAGGTTTAATTTGGAAAAAATGACTTGCAGCAATAGTTCAAATGCTGATATAATGCACATAGCTAATCATTTTAAATTTGGAAATTTATCTTCAAGGATAAATTTTTGATAATATTCAATCTTATTCCCTTCGCACAGGCATTTTAGCTCGATGTTGGAATGTAATTTTAAATTATTTTATCATGTTTGAATGTAATTACAAATGTTCCATTTATAAATTTGGAGTTGCTGATTCCACCTCTACGTCAAATGGAGCTAAAAGTATTGTAAACATTTCCTCAAACTTTTGTATGTAGGAGAATCTGGTGTTGAATTCTTCAAGTAATTTTCCAATTTTCATAGAATATTTGAAGAAGTTTTTATGGTCACTTTTATAGTTATTTAACTATGGGAAATGAATCAAATTGATTGACCGCAAATGATTTTCGTAAAGCTGAAGCTTTGCTACAAAGGCTTTTAACAATTGGTAATCAAATTATTTTCACCTTGTAATTTCTGGTTTAGCTCATTCAGTTTCATAGTTATGTCTGTTAGAAAACATAAATCTAGAAGCCATTGATCATCCGAAAGTTCACTTATATTATGACCATTATTGTTCATGAAAGTTTCAATTTCTTCCCTTAATTTCCAAAATTATAATAAGCAGTTTCTGTGACTTAACCACCGAATTTTGGTGTAATAAATGAGATCACCGTATTCAGATTCCAGTTCCCTAAGGCATTCTTGAAATTGGCGATGCTTCAGTGGATTGTTTTTAATTGAACAACTTTCATCACATGAGACATATTTAACACTCATGCACATAGATTCTCGATGTGCAAAAAACAATGACCAATGAATATTTCAAAATCATTTGAACTGTTTTTCAAAGCTTTTATGCGATAGAAAATTAATGTAACAGCACCAACATTTTTTCCAACCACTGAAGGGGCTCCATCTGTTGACCTTTTCCATCCTACAAGATTTTTCAAATGTATCAGACAACTTTATGTGCAATTTATGACAGCATCCTTAATATCTTTTCCAGTGGTAGTACCTTTCAAACTAGCAATTTCAAGTAGTTCTTCAGTAATATTCATTTGACTATCGACACATCTAATAAAAGTAGCAAATTGAGCAGTATCATTTATATCTGATGTTTCATCCAAAGCCACTGAGATATATACGAAGCTTGTAATTTTGTATAGCGATGCACAAATCTCATTTGAAATGTTTTCTATTCTTCGTTCTACAGTTTGACATGAGAGACTAATTTGAGTAAAGAGATTCAGTTTTTCTGGACAGATTTCTTCAACTGCAGCAATTAGACAGTCTCTGATATAGTTACCATCTGTAAAAGGCTTCATATTTTTAGCAATAATGTGGATACTCGAAAGCTAGCACTGACAATACCATTTGATTGAGCAGTTTGCTTATGAAATATGTATTGTTGAGATGTCAAATTATTCTTCAAAGATTTTAACTTAGCTTTCCATTCGCCAACAGTAAGTTTATCAATTTCTCCATGTTTTTGTTCATAGTGTCTTTTTAGGTTGTATGATTATAAAGTTGAAATTAAATGATGACAAATCAAACATACAGCATTGTCTTTTACATGAATAAAAAAAGTACAAATTTTCCCATTCACTCTGAAACTGTCTATTTTCATCTTTAAGTTTTCTTTTCTTTTTTTAAATTTTTCTTTCAGCCATGATGAATAAATATCTGATAGAAATATATACTATAATTATTGATATGATCAAAAAACAGTAAGTTTATCTTTTACCTGATCACAATCACAGATTACAATCACAACAAAGTCGACCAGATTGCACTTTTTGGCGAAAGAATATCTCCTAACCTACAAGGTTCTTATCTACAGTGGATTTGTGCTGCTTGCTATCTGACGTTACGTAGTATAGCAACTATCTACGTAACATCTTCACATTTTGTACTTGCGTTACAGAATGTCTGCATAAAATTGATTTAGATTTAAGTTTTCAAAAGTTTTATTTCAAATGCAAAGAGGCAATTAATCAAAGAACGGTATTGTAAGCAAAGAAGAACAGCAGTGTAATTATTACACTGTTTGACAAAAAGAAAAAAAAAAAAGAAAGAAAAGAAAAAAAAAAAAAGAAAAGAAAAGAAAAGAAATTGGTTGATGGCCAAATGTTTATTTTCTTATTGCTTGGAAGTTAACTGAAGGGGGAAAATTATTTCGGAAAACATTGCACGGGAAGAGATGGGGATGGGTCAAAATATGATTTTTTTTATTCAGTCGTCTATAGTCCAAATGTCTAAAATAGTATAGACTGTTAGAAACCTCGATTGCACCACAAAAAGTTTTCAAATAGACCACAGGTTGGGCATGCCTGATATGGACACTTATGAAATGTCTTGCCATCTAATGATATATAGTTACAAAATTAATAAAACTGTTGTATTGGATCTTTATTGGTTCTTCATTTTGATATGAATAAGTTTAATAAATTTTAATGGAATTATTTCCTATGAATTAATTATAAGTTATATGCGAGTTTCCCTGTGCATTAAAATTATTTTAAAAAAGTCATTATATTTTGTATTGTTATTAAATATAAAAGAAAATAAAAAGTGTAAACTTCTATTTTCAAACCAGTGAAACTAATTTTTTTTTTTTTTTAATTACTTATTCTAGCTTTATCACTGTCAGAGCTTGAACATGCTCGTCCTCAGACAGCTGGAGAAGAAGAGTTACAACTGCAGCTAGCCTTAGCAATGAGCAAAGAAGAAGCTGATCAAGCAGAACGATTGAAGAGAAATGATGATCTAAGGCTTCAGATGGCACTTTCTGAAAGTGAAGAGGAGTTTAAGAAGAATCTTTCATCTGAAAAAACACATTTGCCACAATCATCATCAGCTGTGGAGGATTTATTAGGTTTAAGCCTGAACGTTAATGGCAACAGCCAGCCTCCCATGATTGATCCGTGGGGTTTGCCATTGAATACTTCAAAAGTATGTCTTTTGAGAATTTACTTTTTATATATTGTTGAATTATATTTATATTTCATGCACATACATTTATGCATTATGAATTTTTGAAAAGAACATGGAACAACCAAATATATTTTGTAGCAGTTATGTTCTACTTGCTCAAGTATTGGGTCATCCAGAAAATTCTACAGTTTTTCAAACTGAAGCACATGTTGTTACTGCTGATAAAAAGTGATTTTGATTAAGCAAATGTTTAAATGTGATCTTCTCTGCTCATGTTGTGCAATTCTAGCATGTGTTGTAACATAATTTTCATTTCATAGTAATGCTAAGTATGGAGATCCCAAAAGTTATTTTGGTCATATTAATGCCCTTCTCTTTCAAAAAAGGCAAAAAAATGCTTGCCAGACTGCTTGTAGAATTTGTTCTATATGTGGGCAAAGTGCTCTTTCTTATGACAGTTCAAAGGTGGATTTGAAAAGTGTGGAAACTTCAGCCTTGATTATGATGCCCACTCTGGACAGCCATCTACTGTAAAAGCATCCTCTGTAAAAAGAACCTGCTATTGAAAATCCACACTCAGTGTTTGTCAAAGGTAGTAAGTATCTGAAAAATAAAGTGCATAATCATTTGTAGAATTTCAAGTATGGTATGCTTCTACAATGTTTGGTTATCCCATACTTTAACAGAGGAGAATATGTGTGCTCAAGTTTCAGCTTGCGGTTCTTTGCTGAAATAAAGAAATAAAGAAGCTCCTTTTTCTGAAATGGCTTATTACAGAATATGAAAAATGCATACTATACAATAATGTGACAATAAAAAAATTTTAAAAAAGTTATGGGGTAGGCCAAAAGAGCCTCCTTTGGTAATATCAAAGAATGGTGAGACTACAAAATTCTGTACTGTGAATTCTTGTCATAAAATCAGTCGATAAGTTTGGAAAAATACTGTTTCCAAATGGCACTTTAAAAGCAGAATTTAAGGCTAAGTGCCCAGAACTGACCAGTCGAGATGTTGTCTTCCCTTATGGCAATACACAGAGATATTGAGTATGGCTGGGATGTTTTGTGTCATGTTCAGTAGTCACCAGACTTTGCTCCCTCTGATTTTGATATCTTGGGGGTCACTTCAAAATTCTCTGAATAGTCTCGAGCTCACTTCTTTGCAGACTGTCAAGCAGCACCTTGACATTTTCTTTAAGAGTAAACCTAATGACCTTTTTTAAAAAAAGGAATATTTCAGACCTAGAGAGATGGCAAAAAGTCATAGAACAAAATGGTGCTTATGTGATTCAATGAAATTTCTGAGGGGCTGTCATAAAAAAACTGCAGACATTCTCAGATGGTCAATATTTGCATTATCTGCTGGCTAATTGAAAATACTGGTAATAAATACCTCTGCTGGCTAATGTCTGAAGTGAAACACGATAGGTAAAAATTTTCACTTAACAAAATATAGAGCAAATAATGTAATTAAATTGATTGTAATTGTAATTTATAAATGGATGATTTTATATAATTCTGCTGTGAGCAAACATTATTTCTGAGCAATCTTTATATTTGTTTTATTATAATATTCTTAATTTGAAATCTTAAACATAAAATCTTGTGATGTGCATATGAAAGACTAGTCAAGATACTGAAATTCAGCATCTTAATTAATCATCTATAAATTTGTAATAATAATAAATAAATTAATGATAATATTTAAATACATGCTGTAACAGAAATAATATAATAAAGTACATAAATGTAATAAAATAAAGTACATGCCATAACAGAAACTATCAAAACAAAAAATAATTAAATAAATAAGTGCTAACGTGTGATAAAAATATATAAAATCTTGATAAATTAACTGTTATAACTTTATTCTTGGTAATTACACAATGTAACAATCAGTTTTTTTTTTTAAAGAGCAACAGCAAGTGAGAGAGTGGAAGCATGAGAGAGAATGTGACATGTCCAAAATAAAAACTCTGTTCAGAATGATTTAATTTTAATTCAGCTTTGTTTATTACATCATTCTGATTAGTTAAATTTTTATTTTCAAATTTAAAGTTATTCATGGTTTAAAAAACTCATGATTTTTACATAATGATAAAGATATTAGCATTAGTTTTGAAATAACATAGTTTATAGATATTCCAATAAGCATTTACTATTTTTAGAAAAGAAAGAGAAATAATCAAATCAAAAAGAAAAAGAGTTAAAGAGCTATTGAAAATTATATTTTAGCTTGTCTTTTTTTATATATATTTTATGTGTTATCATACTGTAGTATAATTCAGTTATTTCATGAAACAACTGGTCAAGGCAGGTAAAGTGCGTAATAAATTAATAATTCCACACTTGAATTGATTATTTCATAGAATAACATGTTATTCTATAAATTAACTAATGCTAAGTAAGTTAATGAGATATTTTCTCCTTACCTTCTTGATGTAATTGGAAGCAAACTCGATGCATATTTGAAAGGTTCAGGGTTCGAGTCTCAGCAAGGGCACCGCTTATTTTTCATATCTCCAGCATTAAAAAAAAAAAAAAAAAACACTTAATGACTCTACAAGTTATTCCGCGTGCCTTTGTGGTGTTATTAGAAGCATACTTAGCACATATTTCAAGAGGTCCAGGGTTAGAGTCCTGGGAAGGGCATTGCTCATTTTTCATGTTACTGGCATAAAAAAGATAAATAATAATATTAAAAAAATAATAATAATGACTCTACAAAGTGTAAAATAAACAATTATTCTAAGTTATACAGCATGCAATAAAATCATTTGTTACAATAGAAATTACTAAAATGGTACTTGGAATTGCATAGAACATTACTGCTAAAATAATTTTTCTTTTTAAACTATCGGAGCGATTTCTCTATATCTAGTACTTGCTAGGTATTACTCAGTTTCTGCTCACAGATTGCAGGTTTTCTGTGCAAATTTTCTTTGATTATTTTACACTTTAGTTGGGTATGCGATTATTATTCTATGAAATAATTAGTAAAAGTGGAACATTATTAATTTATTGCACATCTGATCAGTTATTTCATGAAATAATGGATTTCGTACTTTAATGCTGGTGTGTGTGTGTATATATATATAGAAAGTCGTTTTAAGATTTCAGTAAGTTTGCATTTTTCAATTATTGTTTCAAATAGGTTTTCAGCTTTTAGCTGTTTAAAGTTCAGCTTTAACCTTTTTATTTATAGAAATCTCTAAATACAGTTTTTCATTTTCTTGATATTACAAGTTTAGTTTAGCATAATCGGGGACCTCCCAATTTATTAGTTTGTTTAAATGACTATTAGTTTTACTCTTTATTTTTACTTGATTTTGAATTTCGGATTAGCATATATTGGTTTTAGACCAATTAGTTTGAGTTTCAATTTACATAATGTAAAGTTCTATGGCTTCTTAATTGTCATTTTGGCATTATGTAATGTTTTATTCTTTTTTCCAAGTGTTTAGAAAATGTGTAGGGAAAATTCTAGTACATTTGAGATTCAAGTTTTCGGTTTTATATGAATTTTAATGTCTTTAATAAAAATTTGATGAAATCATTTTACGGCTTTTGATCTCAAATGGACCAGGAGAACACAACATATTGTTACAAAATGTACAGGCACGGTGAGATAGCTTCCCCACAAAGCAGTTTTAGGGTTGCCATAAAATGGCAGGGGAAGGCAGAATATCCCCCCATTTGGTGACGAAATTGGTGATATGCCATGGACAAATGGATAACCTCCATTTGTCTTTAACAAATTCTTACCATTTTAGCCCAGATTGTTCTCAAACACCAACCAAAAACTATATAAACCCTACTGGTGGAGAGTCAGTCAGTATTGAGTTGGTGTCTCGTCTAGTGAGTCGATCCCTTTGGAGTCGATCGAGTTGATAGCCGGGCAGCGAGTGCAGAGTGGGTCGTCGAGTTCACCGAAGGAATCTCTTAGTGTATCGCGGTTAGTGCATCGTCGAGAGAGCATGTTGAGCTCTGGGAAGGACTGAACCAAAGAGTCGGGAGCCTGTGTCGTCGTGCATCGCGAGTTTAGCGTGAGATCTCGAAGTACGTGGAGTTCCAGAATGACCGAGCAGCGTCGGAGCCGTACTCTGGGGCTTTGCAGTGAGCTGGTCTCCACCGTGATAGCCTGAAAACCTGAAGGCTGTGTCGCTGATCGTGTCACGTGTTATAGTTTTTCAACGACGACTGTTTGGATTGTCCTGACAATACTGGCAAGTGTGTTTTTCAATACTTCAGCAGTGTCGTTGTTATTCACCAAATTCACACGAACCCGACAAACGGAAGGAGGAAAATACGTAACCCCTGGTGTCAAAAAAAAAAAAAAAACGAAAAATATTTTCGAAATATTAATCAACTTTTTAAAGCTTTAATTCATTTCCCCTGATGAGTTCTGAATTGGGTTTCAATAAAAGAGATTATTTTTTATTTGTATATTTTGTATATTTTCCTTTTTTGCATTTATTTTTCAGATGTCCTACTGAATTCTCTCATTAATTTGATTAGTTTTTATATTGTGTTAAACCTCTTGCACACGGTTGCAATTATTATATTATAAGGGAATTGGCTTGCTTTTATTCCAATTTACTAATTAATTTGGATGCTTTAAGTTTACATATATATGTTAAATATAAAAAAGTACGATGGCTTTGCTCTATGCGAACATGCAACCTTTAATTAACTTTCTGCAATTTAGGATCTTCTCCCTAGACCAGTACTTTCTAGAATATGCTAGCCTATTATGTAACCGCTACTAAAAATGCTGAGTATGCGCCATTTTTCAGTCAGACTGCTTCCTAATATCTCTGTTACAAGACTCTGTGCTGCTCTGTCTCTCTTTCTTTCCTTTGTTAGAAAATGTGATGACGCATAAAGTTTAAATTCAATCATACTTAGTTAAAATCACTATGGATATGTAATTTAGAAAGTGTCATCTAAAAAGAAAATGATCTGCTAATTGGATTAAATAAAAATGTCCAGTTAAACGCTAAATCAACTTGTCTCGTCTTTTGGATTCCGCTTTACCACTTTGCAAAAGCAATTCCTGAACTTTGATGCTAAGCTTCACCGTGATTGCTAAAATATCACATATATATGTAACTAAAGGAATATTTACTTTTTATTGAAGTATAAAGCTGTACTCAGACTGGTCTCTTGGCGCAAAAAGCAGAAAGGGGGGAACGCTTTCTGCAAACGCCAATTCACACAAATTAAAAATTTTGCTTCAAAAGTTGTCATATGCACACAGTAGATAGATGGCTCTTCATATGGGAAAACTAAGAGAAAGAGAGATTTTTTTTTTGGGGGGGGGTATTTTCTGCTTGAAATGGATTCAATTTTTGTTAGATTAAGACTTATTTTACATCTTGCTTTATGTAGGAAAAGCAAAATGCAGTGGTATATATTAATTATTAACAGATTGCAGCAACAGAATGCAAATAATTTAACTGAAGAAATGCGCTTGAATGACATTGAAATTTCTTTTAATTACTTTCGTATGACGCCTGATGAGTTCTATGAATTTCTAACCTTCTTTGAACAATTTTTCCAAAAGCAGAACACTAATTTTTGCCAGAATATCAATAAAAGGGAGTATGCATTTTGTTGAATAATAATTAAAAATTCTTAATTGCATATTTTGATTTTAGAAAGCGAAATGTTTTATGGGATAGAATGCTATAAAATTTTTTGCATAATGTATGAACTCTTCTTAATATAATTGGTTTTATTAATGAAAAAATGATATTTAGTTTAAATGTATGTAGCATTTATAGGCTTATTAAAGTAAATATCATCCTTGCAAAAAGGAAAGCAGTTACATAACCCCCCCCAAAAAAAGCTAATAAAGAATAGAAATTTAAGAAGTATTTTAAAACATAGTTTCTGCTTTATGTGCATATTTTTTACCCTTAAGTATATCTGTAATTACTTCAATCACTCATTCATATATTAGTGAAGAGTCACTATCTGAAGTTTTATTTTTATAAACTCATTTTTGTCTAAAACTAATTAAAGTAACTGCATTTTGTATAATATTTCTTTTTCTGTTTCAAAATTTGAATTCCATACTTTGAAAATTTGCAAATGCCCATGCAAGTGTTCTTTAAATTAATTAAAATTTATCATCAGTATTAAACCACTGCTCAGTTTATTATATAATCTGTGTGAAAAATGCTCATGCATATGGATTAAAATTCCTAAAAGTATTCCATAAAATCCATTCTAAAATTGAATATTATCTTGATCCAAATGACACATACTGACAAGCTTCCTTTTTGTATAAATAATAGTTTTCTTAATTTTTTTCAAATAAATGGTGTACTTATCACCAGCTCAGAAACTAAGGTAAAAAAGTAACTTTATTATAATACCAGTATCACTTTTGCTAGTCTAGCATCAGCTGAAATGGCTTTTACATAAATTGTTTGATGAATTAAGCTAAAGTCTTGTTATAAGAAGGATATTGCAAGCAATGCTGCTTGGAAGGTCAACATTATTTTTGTAGTCTATGAAAAACAAATGTAAACTTATAATAATAACAATAAATGCAATAATGACAACAACAACAACCAAAAAAAAAAAAAAAAAAAAAAAAAAAGAAGAAAGAAAAAGAAGAAAAAAAAAAAAAAAGGATGTGGTAGATAAAAATTTGATGTATTCACCTCATCATTGAAGGTAAGAAAATCAAAAAAGCACAGCCTATCTTCAGAGGAAGCTGAATAGGCATCTGTTCTCTGAAACTAGCAATAAATTTTTCTGTATTTTTTTTTTAAAAATACCAACTGTGTCACAACACCGCCCCTGGGCCCTGGTGACACTTTTGGTCTAAAAGCCAATGCTTTATCCATTAGGTAACAGGAGCAACCTCAAATTGATATAGATTTTAAGTAAAATTCAAAATCTCAGATTTAGAAACCTATCATTATTTTCTGGTAATAATCTATTGCTTTAGATTACTGGATAAAAGTTATCAACCATGTTTTCTTTATGGTTGATAATTAGGATTTATTACTTTTATTAAACTTAAGAATTTTCTCTTAAATAATATATTCATATATTCTATTAACATATTCATTTTTAATTGGCATCTGAAATTTTACTAAGATTTTTGCATATGATTTTATATTTTCCACGACAAGAATTTGAAAGTATATTAATGTAAAAACAATGGTATAAACTGGAGATTTGAAGTGAGATATCTAAAACTGACACCGCAAAAAGTTGAAGATGAGTCAACTTGCATGGTCTTTGGTCATCCAAAAAGTACTAACTCTGAGCTCCCTTCTGATGAGTTACCACTTTCCGCCCAAATGCATGATTACGTTGGTGGGGATAAGGTAAGGTACTTTTCTGTTGTGCACCTGCCACATGTTGTAGTGCCAGTGAAAGAGAAGCCAAACACAACAATGAGAGCCAGTGATAGAACCATCTGGAGACCAAATCATTTGTGTGTGTGCATGTATATTTAGTTTAATACATTTAATTCTTTGTATTTACAATGAAAAAAAACTTGCCAAAATGTGTAGCAGATGGATGGAAAAGTATCGTGTATAATTAGAAAAATTAGATAAGTCGCTTTATAAACTTAATTTTAACATTTTTTGTTTACTTTTATTTTTAGAATGTGAATAAACCTGATAATGTATGGAGTAGTAGTCCAGTGTTGCCAGAACAGAATCAAAATACAGGTAAAAATAGTTTTAGAGGCAAAGTGGCATTGAAATTAATGATATTAATAATAAATATATAATAAAAATGCAAGCATGGTGCATCCAGATATTATTCGAATTGTGTTCATAATATTAGTCAAAAATTTTGATCTTTTATATTTTAATGTGAGAAAGCATACTAGCAGAATACAATGTATTTTTTCATTTTTGAAGCAAGCAAAATGTGCATGTTGGAATTAGAAATATTTTTAAACTTAGTCTGTTCTAGAAGTCAAAAATAAGCATGACCGTTTACTGAAAGATTCTGGTGTCATAATTGGCCAAGAGCCTTATTCCATAGGTATCCAAAGGCTTGGCTCTAGCATTTTTGGGGCCCTAGGAGATCAGTACATTTGGCACCCTGTAAATAAGATTTAGATGAATATGTGTATCAAGATTAGCCTATAATATGTGGTAAATATGTAGTCTTTAAATGTCAAAAAAAAAGTGGTTACATATTATGTACTGACTTGTAATTCTTTGTTTACTTTATGAATCTTTTGCTTATCAAAAACAAGTATTCCATTTATAAAAATGGATATAAAAAGTAAGCTTGCTGTTAAGACAGCATGCAAATAAGTGTTCTCTATCAAAGTGTGCAATGTACGGCATTGGAATTTTTTTATAATTTACAGTGATGTTTCAAATCAATTTGCTATATTATATAAATCAAGTGTGGTATCTTAAAATATTCCATATCCATCCATTAAAAATGAAACCGTTTCATTTTTAATGGATGTTTTTAATGGAATTCCACACTTTTAATTATTAAAAGTATAGAATGATAGAAGTAAATCTGTCAAGTCATATACTTTTAAAATATGCTAATATGTGTTTAATCTATCATTCTTCCAAGAAAACAATGTATTTTAGCAAGCAGATTTTGTTTTCATCTAAATTTACAATGAATTTCATAAATAATATTTTAGCTATCTTCATAATTCCAGCAGCCCCCCTCCTTAACTATGAGCATGGTCAAATTTATTCGCCAGACAGTATATTTGAAAGCATGAAAAATATACATCTTGCTTGATTTTATCTGCAAGATTTTTATCTTGCTTGGTTTTCTGTCATAAGAATGCTAACCAGTGTCTAAATAACTGATGTTGCAAAACAGTTTGGTTACATGAGAAAGAAGTTCTGTAAATTTTAAAATAATATACATGTTATATACAACATTAGATTAGCTTTGATCATGGTTAAAAAAAAAAAGAGAGAGAGAGAGAAAGGGGATAAGGAAAAAGAAAATTGTATATTGAGATGACATTGAAATTATTCTGCTAGATTAGTGAACAAGACTAGTGTTCGCATATTTTCAAGTGATGACCTCATTATTAGACCTCGTTAGCTGATTATTGTTTTTACAATTATCAGAAAGTAAATATCTCAAAAGTCAATAAACCTCTCTCTCAAGATAATCCTGTATTGTTTTGGTGGAGCAAGAGTCCAAACGTAAAGAAAAAAAAAATTATATATATATATGTGATGTGAAGCCTGCAAAACTCTTAAAATGTATGTAACCTGAAATCCAGGCTGTGCAAATCTTCTGTTTATTATGGGGTATGTAGAATTGTGTGCATAATCAGGAAACAGTTGCTATTATTCATTGTGCTTTAGAATTCGAAACACATGATACTGCATGATTCATATTTATAAGCTTGAATAATTTACAACATATGAAAAAAGTCCATCATGTTTCTGACATTGAACACAGAGGTAACAATTAATAAAATGTATTGCTGAACTTGGTTCTGCAAAGCCACCTTCCCCCCCCCCAGTCTTTTTATTTTTATCATTTAGTTCATCAGCAAAACTATTAAATGTTAAAGAATTGGCTTTATTGGCCTTTTATTCTTATAGTTCAATTAGGAAACATATAATCATGTAAGATACCATTATTGGTTGTTCAGTATTTTATTAGATTCTCATTTATCTATAACTAATATACAATTATTTGTTTCTTTTTACAATGCAGTGAACCTATTGTTCATTTCTTTGGCTGCTACCTTTTAGGTTTACTTTACTTACCTGTAGTCAGCCCATTTAGTGCTAGCGTATGTAACATTTAATATTGGCTTTGTTTGAGTAATTCGCAGAGCATGTTAACTCTCAATTTTGTCATTCATAGAAGTATGACAGATCCATAATTATATTAGCCAGCCAATGGCCAAGTGGCTAAAGCTACAAAATACTGCCATTTTTATAAGTAACTTAAATTCCATCAGATTTTTCTTAGAAAGTTCTTCACAAAAGTATCCTGTCCCCTTCCAGGCAAATAGCCAAGTCTCATCAGTCATGAGTTTAAAATCCTTATCTGCTTAAGCATTGTTAGCATTGTTTCTATTTGTAAGCTGTATAAATTTTTGTAATGAGTATATTATTTTCCTGAAGGAAAGTCATGATTCATTGAACACACATATTAGAACAGAAGTATTGAAATACAAATTCAAAAATTGCTAGTTACAGACAGTTATATTTATTTATGCCAGATGCATAAAAATTTATTTTAATGTATATTCTTTATAAAAACACTGATATCAAAAACATTCTAGTAAATATTATATAATATTTATTTTCTAACAGTAAGGAATGATCCTTGGAGTCCTACAGTATTTGAAAATTCAAGGAATGATGTGTTAAACTCAAGTGCTGCTTTTTCAGTATCACAGGACAGCAGTGGTAAATTCTTCTTTTTTCTTTTTCTTTTTCTTTTTTTAAAATTAAATCATGACTTTTTCTGTAAGTAATAAAATGTGTATGTGATTAGTATATAATTATGTGTATGTATGTAATGCATTGAAGC